TTGATTGATGTACAGCAAAAAAAAAAAAAATAATAGTCACAGAGTCTGAGTGCATCAACACATGCATGAAATGCACAGCTCAGTTGTTGCCTCTATTTCTTTTCGGCATGCACAGCAACACAAATAATATTTATATATGTGCCATGAGACGAAATGAAATTTTTGTAATTTTTAAAAATGTATTTATGTATATATTTATAAAGACCCATCTGCTGTTTTGATATACTTTACTTTTTTTACTTTTACTTTGTGCATGCTCTCATTTCTATCTGATGAATGATGTATTTATGCATGCATATTCAAAATTATTTATTTTATGGATATACATGACTGATGGTTTAATAAAAATTTCTTTTTCTCTGTTGCTCTTTGTGTGCCTGTCACATGCATTGTAATTAGGATATTCCATTTGAGATTCAAAAATTTTTTAGATTATTTATTATTATTACTAGACGACGGGTAGGATCGTGGATTTTTCCCCGTGCGATCATTGTTCGGAGTGTTTTTTCTACTCAAAACCGGTTGAAAATATTTCGTCAATATGAAGATGTGATCATTCTGTCAGTATACTGTTAAGTCTCTAGTGCTGTAAGCAGATTTTGTTTCTGGATAATAAATATTGTGATTTTTGGTAATAAGAAGCAAATTGCGTGAGATAAAAAAAATATTTAAAAATAGATTCTTCATTAAGATTTAATCGCATTGATTATTGGAAGCTGTTTCTACTGATCATGCGAATATAAATGATATCAAGTTATTAAAAATAGTTCTGGAACGTCTTGTCATATATGACTGAAATTAAATTTGATTGAAATATTGAATTGTGAACTGATTGATACTCAATTTTGAGGTTGACTTGTGCAATATATTGAACTAGGCATGTATAACCTGTTGTTGTGGATTGACAGAAATAATCATTTTGATGATTTGATATTTTAAGTGTTCTGTGTTATAAATGACAACCAATAAACGTTTGAATTTACACCCCCATCCCCCCCCCCCCCCTGTGAGCTTTCAAATACTTCACATATATTCCTACTTTTGCAAACTGATAGCGGTAAGCAGCAATAGCCTTTCGAATACCAGTTGTATCGAGACTCATAGACGACTATTGCAAGCAAAGAAATTGATATCGACCAGGTCTTTTCATAATTGAAGTTTTTCCATCATACTTGACACTTAGTCTCGATTTCAGCATGAATTTCAAGAAAGTACTTTGATTAACAAAAATATTAAGATTAACATTATAAAACATTTCTGTCCCAATTAAATTCAGTTGTCGTCTACAGCAGACTTTTTCTTGCCACCATCTGCCAATTTCCAATTACAAATGCAACATATTTATTTACTTAATCCCAAAAAGGTCATGACCTTTGTTAAATCCAATTCATTTGTGTAAAAATTTGTCGTGTCCAAGCTATACTTGCCAAGATGTACTCCCTTCAAATACCACAATTAAATAAACAAACAACTTTTGGATGGGAATTTTAAATATTTAAGCACAATTTTCAAGAATCGACTCAATTTCTTTCATCATAGCCGACTTTTAATAGCCAAAAATAATTTTCCGTTGACTAGTTTTTATAAGAAAGAGGAAATATTTGTACTCACTGTCTTTGCCTTCATCAGCCTCAACATTAATCTCTCAATTTATTCTCCGACCGTTGCGAAATGCCTGAAATTAAAATTAATTTTATTATTTTACAATAATTAAACCATAAATGCAGCCACAGCTTAATGCCAATATTTTGAGTAAAATACTCATGAATTTATATCATTAAATTTAATTTGCATGTCAATTGCATCAAAATGTTTCCGTCAAGTCAAATTGCAATCATGTTAATGCACTTTTATATACACACAAATTTATTTCAAGTTCCAGACAGGCAGCAACATATGTTCGACTAGTGCACTTTTTTCTGTTTATGAGCATATGATATCATTTGTAATGGCAGTGAAGCAGCAAAGTGGCACAAAGAATGAAAATGTTGCGAGTATGAGAATGTTTCTTGGATGTATGCTTAGTTTTAAGACAGTCCAAAAAAAAGTTACATAAGAGAAAAAATCTGCCGGAGATTTATAAAAAGATGAAAAATTATGTGAAACAAACCAAAGCAAATTTTCTTAAAGATTTCGTCCTTTAAATGGACGACAAAGGAACCAAAAAAGAGATTTTTAAAAGTCCATTGGATGCACTTTAATTAACTTAAAAGGAAAGTGTAAGTCCCAAAACACAAAAAACTGTAAGAAATAACAGTTGACAATAAAAAAGGAACAGAGATCAACGAAAGGTGTTTCTTTTATTCCTTTTCAATTTCTTCTTTGCTGTTGCTGTTCTGCACAGCATCTATTCATTCAATCTGCTTATTTTCGAATCCTCAACAAAAAAAAAATCTCTATCGATACAAAAAACAGATTTTTAAGATTTTTCATTTACAAAAAAAAATAAGAATCAAATGTGTGTATTTGAGATGAGCGTATGCTGCTGCTGCTGTTATAGCTGACACAAAAAAGGAATGGAAAGGAAGAAAAATTAAATTATCCTCGTGCCATATCGAGACATATGTTTCATTTCAAAAAATCTTATGTGTATTATTAATGCAAGACTCCTACATAAATGTAATTGATTTCTTAAGGAATTTCTTGGCGCAAAAGTAAGAAAATAAATTAAATAAGGTTTTTAAGAAAAGTGTATGTGCATGTGTGTACAGTGTATTTTGGGGATTCGGATTTTTTGTTTTAAATTGAAATTTATGTAACATTTGAAGAAGGAATTCTTTAATTGGATGGTCAACAGTTGCGCGGCAAAAAAAAAACAGTTGCGCGGTTAAACATAAGATAATATTACAAACTTCGCGCAACTGTTGCAAAGACAATAATATGATATGCAACTGTATTACAGACATTAATATAGCACGCAACTGTTGAATAGACATTAATATGGCATGCAACAGTTGTACAGAAAAAAAAATATGGCATACAACAGACTTGCGTCATTTCGAATGTTGGCAGTTATGTAAAATTTTGAAAAATTCATAATTTATTTTCCATTAAAGCATAAAACAAAATTTTCCTTTAATTAAGCTACAGATTATGAAGCTTTTCGATCAGCATCACTAATTATGTGATCAGTAGGTTGTTAATCATTGTTTCAAGTAAGAAAATTCAGTTGAAATTGGAAAATGTCAACAAAAAAATGTAAGTGTGTTAGTGTAAAAATTTCTTGAAAATATTTCTGCAAAAAACTCTTTTGTTTCTTGATATTTATGATTTTAAAGCTTATCAATGTTCATAAATAATAACAAGCTTTGATTCTAAGCTAGTTGACAGTAATTATATTAGCTAAAATGCTCAAAATTCAGTATAGAATTTTTTAAAGTTTTACCGGTTGAATTGAGTTTAAATTTTCGAATTTTTCGAAACCAATTTCGAATTTCTTCGAAATGAAATGACGCAAGTCTGGCATACAACTGTTGAATAGACATTAATATGGCAAGCAACAGTTGGATCGACATTAATATGGCATGCAACTGTTGGATAGACATTAATATGGCACGCAACTGTTGGATAAACATTAATATGGCACGCAACTGTTGGATATAAATTAATATGGCACGCAACTGTTGGATAGACATTAATATGGTACGCAACTGTTGTAGAAAAAAAATAATTTCATAAATGATGCGCAGCAATTGCGCAAATAAAAATTTTCAGAATCTATGGCAACAAGTAAATCAGAGCCCCCAAAACACATCCTCTCAAAGAGAATATACGCAAGATGTAAGTTACATAAAAGTGTGCTTCCTTTTTAAAATTCGATTCTTAACGAACCTGGTGCAATGTGCTTAATAAATCTTACCACCATTTGTGTTGTTGCTTTTCCTATTTCTCTTTTATTTTTCTTCTTTCCAATATCTGTTGCTGTTAATAATTTCTTGTTCCTCTCATTTTGCCTTACTTTATTTCTGTGTGTGAGAATAAAGTTAAAAAAAAAATTATTTATAAAAAATAACAAAAACAGAACAGAACAACATCGCAACGAAAACAATCATCATAACTTTTCAAGCAACACCGGGACACATGTGTTGGGTTGTTCCTCTTCGCTTTATTTTGCGTAAATAAAAAAAAAACATAAAATTTATGATGTTAATTACTTAAAAGGCATATTATATGTTAAATATTGCACACTCCCGTGAAAGTTATGAGCATCTTGAAATTTACAATTTTCACAAGATTCCTTTTCGGATAATTTTATGCTCTTAATTTTCGAAATTGCCTTTTTGCCTTCTTTGCTGTCTTCGTCATTAAAATTATTTGTTGGCAATTGCAATTATTTGGAAAGTTTTTCTAGGAAAATTATGAGTCATTAATGCTTGTTACTACAATTTACGACGAAGAAGCAATTATAAATATTTCTTTTTTGGGAAAACACATGAATGAGTAGTTGTGGATGGTTGTTCTTAACATGTTATGTGTAATAAGAAATTTTTAAGATAATAAATGTTGGAAATTGTTGTTATTTAATGGATTTTTGGATCTAAAATGGTGTTTGATTATTTTTTAGTAGCATCAGCTGCTTTAGGATGAGAAAATAAGGAACTTTACTTGAGTTGGTTTAAGAACTTTGAAGGTTGAATTTTATGTTACAATCTTTCAACATTTTTCACTGTTTTCTGAGCGATTTCATTTTAACAAAGATATCAAGGTCCTTAGAAATGTTGTTCTTACCTCTTCCTGAATTAATGGGCTCTATTCAATAACTTTTTCACAGTTAAAATTACAAATTTACAATTAACGCAATTAACACTAAAACGAAACTCAATTGAATTAAGAATATTTTAATGATCACTGCGATGATGTTTCTTTTAATACTAGAAATGCTCAACAGCTTGATTGAGTTTCTATTAAGAGTAACCCTTTAGCTTCTAATCTTTAATAACTGAATTAATGCTTAATTTTTGCATAGCTTCTGGAAGATACAGCAAAAGTTAAAAATAAAACTTAATCACAAATTAGTTTTAAAATATTTGGATTTCCTTATTATTTTAGACTTCTAGAACCTTTTTAGGGATCTGGAACTATACTTACTTTCAGCTTGTAGCAAAGCTTGTTGTTCAAAAAGGTAAGTAAATCTTAAGAATCTTTTGAGAATAATTAATCTAGCATTTTATTGATCTATAAAGAATGAACGTATCATAACATCTTAAGACTAATTGTTGCATAAGGTTCTATATTTTAAGTACAAAGTATCACGCAAATTTATTCTAAATTATTGTTCTAAGTTTATAGCAACAAGTTTAATTAACAAAATAATAAAGAAAAAACGTGCAAACTTATGAATAAATGCATTAATAATTTAAATCCTAATGAAATGTATGGAATAAGAGAGCATGTGATGAGATTCAATTGCTATTAAATTTAAAAATCCTAATAATTTCTACTCTGTGAAATTCGATAATGTACAGACACAGCAGCTGGGAAACCAAAAAGTATCTGTGAACAATTTTTCACCTTGCGGATCTAGAGTCACTAGACGTTTCTGAACGTACTTTTGTTCACATTTTGAGTTATATCCATTTGGTAATTGGCACAAGTTTGAGCATTTTTCAGATCTGAATAAAAAAAATCTCAGAAAAGGTTTCAATTGAATTAAATGCAATCGCAACTCACAAACAAGTTTCAGTCCGTACTAATTGAGTTCCTGCTTCCACATTATTCACAATGTACATCCAATTTCCAGTTCTTACATTAACTGCTGCCTGTGGATTGATGTAATTTAATTTGACTTCACAGAGTTGTTCCCGATTAGAACTTGTTTGTCGCTTGCTTCTTCTTCCTGACTGAACTACATTGAGGAATCGATTAAATGACAGTTGTTTGACTTCTGAAGCTGTTTCATTTAAAACCGACCGTTTTTGTCGTGATGGTCTGTGAATGAGGTTTGAATTATGAATTTTTTGACTCGAATAATTTTATGTCTACAACTTCTAGTCTACATTCTAGGCTATGAAAAGCAATAGTAAATGGTCAAGAACCTTTGATAGTATTGAGGTTGGCTAAAGCTATATGATATTGATGGTTTAATTTGAAAGAATGTTGAGGATGAATGAGCAGGTCGTGGATAATGGTACCCATTTCCGTCCTTATATCCACCACGATATCCATGATGATTTTTGTAATTATTATAATCATGACTGTATATTAAGGCAATTGATTAGTTAAAAAATATTTTTGGATGATGAAGTTTGCCATTTTTGTTATTTTTAGGCAACAATAAAAAACTGACTGGGGGTTGTTCACAAATGACGTCTAAACTATATCATAGAGGGAAAGTCAAGTATTAATTGATGAATGATTAGGAGTGTTTTAAAAAATAATTAAAATAATTTTAATTGACATCATTTGTGAACGATCCCTTGAAAAGAAAAAAAGAATTAAAATTTGCTGTATATTATAAAAATGTATAGATATGTCTGAATTTATTAATAATAGCATCGGTCATCATAATATGATAAAAGTAGCATGTGATAATTTGTATGATAAAATTCTTACTGATTGTTAACAGGTGAATCATAAAAATTTGCATAATTATCGAACGGTCCACCAGAGGCGTGTCCAGCATCATGTCCATAAGCGGGAATGTTATACTTCTTCGAGAACGACTCCTTCTTTGCATTAAAGTCAATCTTCGTCTCATCAGCCAGTATGTCTTTCGCTGCATATTGCTTCAGCAACTTCTTTATCAAGTTCCTACTCTTAGATTGAATGTTAAGATCGGAAGGGGGTTTCATATTTTTTTTATTGAGGTTTTTTTTTCAGTGAGAAAAAGAATAACAAAGGAGAAAATTCGTTTAGAAGAAATAAAAAGAAGAAAAAAAATTAAATCTACTTTAAACTGTGTTTGTGCTGGTGTTGAATAAAATTTGTTTGTGATCCGACTGCCTTCCAATGATATTTATGTATTTAATGATTTAAGCTCCCACCACTATTTTTATGGTGGATTTTGCAGATGGTGAATGTTCTTGAAAACAATGGTCAGGTAAGAATGTCGAGAAAAAAAAACCCGCGATTTGAATTACGAATGACTTTTTATTTTTGAAGAGTTTTAGTTTTTTTCTTAGAAATTTCAAGCTTAAAACTGGGATTTGAGGTTTAAATTTGAATTTTGGAGCCTTTGGCTTATTACGTAACGCGAAAAAAACGACCTTTAAAGCCCACCTTCTCTTAAAAGCGTTACGTAATAAGTGAACAACCCCTTTAAAGTTTTGCTGCTTACTAAGGTTAGCCTCCAACTGGACGTATGTCTCGTTATTTAAATGTAAAGCCATTTTAGTTTTTATATCAATAGTTTGAACCTTGTTGAAGATTATTCGCCAAAAATGATTCAGATCATGTTTAGTATAAGACTTTTCAGAAGGAATAGTCAGCTCGAAAAAGCAACAGTCTCAAAATTTTGCTTTCGGAGATGCTAATTTAACTTACTTAATCTTACGAATTCTGAAAGCATTTTTATACTAGATATTTAGAATATTTACTTTCTTTTGAATATTAACTGCTCTAAACTGGATCTTTGGTTTTTCCATTTATATTCAAAGAGGTAAGTGTGTGAACTTCCAACCGATTGAAACAAGGAACTTATTAAGAACCACCAAGTTATCAATAACTTTCAGTTTCTGACCTTGACTATTATTTTCAAGACCTCCCGTTCATCCAATGGCACATGAGTTGCTAATTTTTGAACTAGCTTTATCAACGTCCTATCCGAACAAGCAATTAATTTATTCACCAAGGAAGACATCGAATCTTGTGGTTCCCCAATATTTTTTTTATTAATCTTTCTAACTACTTCTTTAAGCATACCTGATGATAAATGATAACATTGTTAATTTTATTAAATGATTTGATGCAAAATTATTCAAATTCTGATATTTGATGACGGTAGTAAAATCTACAAGACCGTTAGAAGCACATGACGTTTGATAATCGTGCGTCATTAATTTTCTTGTAAGCAGTTCCTTATTTTTTAACTTGATTGCTTATGGATATCGATAAAAAAAATGTCATAAAATTTCTCTTACTCATCACGCGCTTCTCATTGATTTTCACCATCGTCACGTGAGTGCTCATTGCAGTAAGTATTACAAACTGGACACTTTAAGTATAAACAATGTATGAGTCATGTAAACTCAAAGAAATTAAAACTCATGACTCAAGTATCAGTTATTTCAATGGTGAGAAAAAAGGTATCAAGTTCGATTATTGATTGATCAATAAAATTGATTGACAGGTTTTTGAATAAACCGGAGCTATTAATAAAAATGAACAAAAGAAGGAACATAGATGTCAAGAATTGTTCTTCAGGAATGAATGGAGAAAAGAGAATATGTAAAGCTGACGTAGGATTCTGTCATTATGTTCGAGAGGCTCTTAAATGAATCATGAATGAGGTTCCTTCAAGGTCGGCAAAAGCCTTTTTTAAAGAATTAATGAATTGAATCATGAACTTTCTTGAATACCTTACGTAAGAAGCTTTATGAATTTTTAATGATTATTGAACTTTGAATCTTTAGAGCATTGATTTAAAAGCTAGGATATTTTTGTTGAAATTTTAATTCTTGTCAAGCTTGTTATGGGCAATATTTACATAACAAAGCCAATCTGCTAGTGCAAAGGTAAAGCCTCAGGATGCAATTGGTAAGCTACCTACATCTTTGTTCTCAAACTTTATAAAGCATTCTATTGAAAAGGCAAGGAGTCACACAATTCTTACGATCTGTGACATTACAATATTTAAAACAATAATGAGCTTTACTAAATCAAAACTAGCCAGGTTTAAAAGACTTTATATTTTAAACTTTTAAACACTTTCAAGGATATGCAAGTCTTTTGAATATTTAATGGAAAACACTTAAATCACTCTAATGACAAAACAAGAATTCAAAAAGAAGTCTTCAAGAGAACGAAAAAAAAAATCATGTCTAAACTCAAAGCTTATTTCCATAAAATCATTGGAAAAAATTCTGATCTAAATTGATTTTCACAGCTTAATCATCATTAATTCTTCACAATTCTATCTAGTCTTCTTCTAGATCCGCGTCGTTACATCTGAACAATCTTAGCCTAGCAAATTTATAGATCTTATAAAATTCTGTTAATAATTGAAACCAGGATATCTCCAAAAAAAACCTTTTAATAAACCTCGTCATAATTAAGATCTAGATCAAGCATAAAATTCTGCAAAATCTAAAAATGACACATCATTTAGTCACTAAGGCAACAAAAGTCGGCATGTAAAGTTAATTTCATGTTCGTTTCAAACAATCGCATGAATGAGTAATTTGAAGCACGAAGCAAGAAGAAATAAAACCACAATAAATTCAATTCATTTGCTCTCAGACTGTTTGTATACATTACGCAATTGTATCGTGTTAAATATGTACAGCGATCGTAATTCAGCGATATTGAAACAAAAAAAAAGTATGAAATTGACATTCACACATTACGGTTTTCAGCCGGCATTGACTACCGGAAATTTCTTGCATTTCTTAGAAGTCAAGACTCCGTTTGCATTGAAGAGTAAGTAATGAGTAAGTGAAGCAGCATTTGATAAGCATTAATAGTCGAATGATGAACTGAATTGATTTAAATCTTTTTTTGGCAATTTATGCAGTTTAGAAAGTGATAGCGACGGACAATTGACCAATTGAATATTCCGTGTGAGTACAAATTAATTTTATTGGAACTAGAAGTAGATTATGAAGGAGATACCTTCAATATTCCTTCATTTTAGCCAAAATGTCTATTTTATTGAACATTAGTCTAACGATGCTTTCCAGCATATCCTACTCTTGAGTAACAACCGTTAATTTAATTTATGCATTTTCGTACAAAAGCTACAAACTTTTGGCAACAAATCAAAAACAAATTTCGATTTCATTAATATTTTGTGTGAGTGTGCATGTTTTGTGCTAGTTTAATTAATTCCACAACCTTGAATGATGCATAAAATGTCAGTAAAGCTACTTACTCTGGATATCCTTCGATTTGTTCACAGAATGTTGATCCTTTGCTTGCACAAGGTGGTGTATGTCCAGGCTTTGCTGGCAAATAAATGCATGGCTCTTGTCCATAATCTCCGCATGATGATGATGATGCAATTGAAAATTCATCAATGAGCATGAACTGAAGGAAGGAGAAGACATTGAATGAGATTAAAAGTAAAAGCAGTTAATACGGAAATTCTCACCAATAAAACAGCAACTTGCAATATCTTCGTGATCTCCATTTCTTTGCCGTTCCAACTGCCAAGAAAATATTAGAAAAATCGTTAACTTTAGTAATTGCATGTTGCTGCTAATCAGCCGCGTTCACTTTCATTCAACTCTTTTGTTTTTTCGCTTCTATGCATTTGTTTCGTACCGACTTTTAACATGAGTAGCTTAAGATGTCGAGCAATAAAAATTTAATTATGAGAATTGTGCACATTTGTGTTCGCATTTCATGAATATTTTTAGCCTGCAGACTTAATTTAATTTGAATTTAATTAAAGTGTAAAAGTGTTGTGGATAAATAAGTTGAGCTAGGAATCCCCTTAAAAAAAATGGAATAAATTCATGGTTCCAATTGATTCTTAATTAAGATTAAAGTGTGAATTTCCAAATTGAAGCTTTGTTCTTTGTTTCTAGCTTATTTAGTTTAGTTCAGAGCTATTTTTGATACCAATATTGTTTTAAGGCATCATCAAACTCTCCGTTCGGGAATTCTTGGGAAACTCCACACAATCAATAAGACCGTAATACTTTTAAAAATCCATTCTAAAATTAGCGGAACTAGAATTTGTTGAGAGAAAGTTTTAGTCATCATTTACAAATGACGTCAATAAAAGATTAGATTAATGGACCGTTTTCTGTTTGTAATGTTTCAAAGAGTAAGAGATTATTCTAAAAGACGTCATCGACTGACTGATTAGTATCAGAAATTTATTATAAATTTAAAGATAATCTAAAATTTAAATGTTGTAGATGACGCAAGGACTTGTTTGAATAGTAAGCAGGTCTATGATTTATTAGTTTCTAGTTTATATTTTTAAATTATTGGTAGTCTTAAAACTGTCCTAATTTAAGTGCCTCACAGGTTAAGTACCTTAACAAGTTAATTACCCTACAATAAAGGATTTTAATTTCAATTGCTTTTGACAGAGACAGTATTGCATTTGGTATTGGTAATTGACAAACGGTAGCCAGCGAAAGAACCAGCTTTAGGAGTAATCTTAGGAAGGCCTTGGATCACAATTGATCTCTACCGACAGCGAAGTAGCTAAAGTAAGTAAATTCAATTGCTCTACTGCCTTAAGTATTATTTTTTAAGTTTTAATAAAAGTTCCAATATGAATAAATCTCTTCCTTTAAAAATTTTTGGTTACGCCATTATATCAGCGATCTAAAAGTGAGAGTTTATTGGTTATTAAAAGTTTGAGTTAAAATGTATGACCAATATATGGATTGTTCATAATTGACGTCGGAAAATAACAGTTATTTTTCAAGAAATAAAAAAGAAATTCAAGAAATTGTTGTAACTTCATTTAGGAACGAACCCATTCACTTGATATTAAGCATGTCCTATATTTGCTAGAAATAAGGCTCAGATCACATTTTAAATAGAAGACTTAAATTTTTCTGGTGAACCCTCACTCGTTGTTCCTTCGAACATTTATAATGCTGAGCTATAGATCTGATTATATACTGCCAGAAAAAAAAATAATTAAGAGGAAGGGGAGATTCAAAAATTTTGGATTCTTGATTCCTTAAATTGAATTTTCCAAATTCTGATGCTCCTCATCCTGAAAATTGTAATTTTCTTCTTTAATCAAAAAATTTCTTGGAACCACAAAATTATACAATAAGAAGTCCACGTGTATTCGAATGTCTTATTATCATAAATTCATCAATAATTAAAATAAAAGTCACATTTTAATATCGAACAAATTTTTTCACCCAATTTACATCACTTTAATTTCACTTTCGGTTAATTTACGTGACTGCACTTGATAATTTCTACATACGTAATGCACATTAAATTTGACAAAATTCGAGGTAATTTAACTGACGTGATACTCACTAAGTTTAATTTATTATATCCACAAAATATTGATAATTTTAAAACAATTTAAATTTTCTTGAGTATTTGATCGCGTGAATAGTTAAAACAAACTGAAGTTAAGCTTAAGCAGCACCATAGTTTATATATCATACAACAAGTATCGATCATCGTTAGAAGTCGGAGTGCTTTTTGAGCTTTTTTTTTCCACAAGTTCTCTCATTCGGAGGCTTGTCGTTCATACACGATTTCATTTTGGCGGTAAGCATTCGCTCACAAGAAAGAAGAAAACAGCAACAGAGAATCGAATAATTTTCTAGCCGGCTTTGCTAGTTGAGAGAAAAAGAAAAACAGCTGTTGAGCATGTGAGCAGTTTCTCACAAAATCATCTTTTGCGTATGAGCTTCAGGTTATTATGATTCATGCCTTAAAATCGGATTTCCACTTGAAATTTTAATTTGGTTTTTCAAAAATCTTGATTGATGAAAATTACATTTAAGGGATTTCGATACATGCATGAGGTTTTGTGAGACAAGTCAGGGCATTTCCCGTCACAGGATTTGAGAGCATCAACGGTTGCTTCTCAAATTTATTTCCTAAAGTTCTCCTCGAAATAAAAACTCATCTAAAATCAAGAACAGCTACTAAAATTGACAATAACTGTAAATAAGCAATTAATTATATTAGCTTAGTTGGATTATCAATTATAATTCTTATGAGATTTTTGTAAATATTTTGAAGCCTTTAACAAAATAGGCTTTATTCCTGATACGCAATTTTCATGCATGCTGTATAGCCAGAATCTATAGCCTAGTAAAATAAAAAAAACATTCATTTTAACCAATTTTAATCAACCCAACTGAATTAATCATGTCACCACTGGATGCTATAGATGCTAGAAAGAAGATTGATAAGATAGCGAAAGTGACTCCGAATACATGCCCAATATGATTAAAGACATAATATAATTTTGTGACCATGATTCTGCCTCGCATTAAAAATTGACTACAGATTGCTTTAAAGGTCGTTAACCAATGACGTTCAGAATGTCATTAAAAGAGCCTTATCATCAATGACGTTCAGAATGTGATTGCAAAAGTCTTATCATCAATGACTACACAATTTTATCTATAGAATCCAATTTTTAACCATCTAATTAATCTGGAAATAACAGAATCCATATGATGCTTTACAAGATGCAAAAATCACCATATTCTTTTAACAGGTATTTCCTTAATAAATCTTCAACGTACATTCTTAACTTATGTTATCGGAAACTACAGCAACCTTGCGCGTGTTGTTTAAGTTTAGTCATTTAAAAAATAAAGAAAACTTACTACATCCTTAAGTGAAAGTCCGGAAAATCCGTAAATCGTAAAAGAGAGTTTCCCAAAACAAAAAAAAAAGTTGTAAAATCATCTTCAAACGATCAATACCGTAAATGCTTAAGGTGACTTGCGAATTGGTCGATATTATTTCTCGGAATTTCCATAGATCTTCGCTGAACTGGGTACGAATTCTCTCGTTCAAAGAAGAAATTCAAATTGATGCTAACGACTTTATCTCTCACGAGCGCCATGTGACACATTGATCATCATCTTTCATCCATGACCTATGTCAAGTTATTATAATAAAGAAGAAAAAAACGAAACGAGTAAGTAACTGAGTGGAGCTCGAATAAAAACACGTGAGAAATTCATTCATTCAGCATGAATCATACGCCGGTTCGATTGACAATCGACTACGTCAATAATTTAAGGTCACGATGGTCACAATCATGTGGTTAAGAAAGATTTATTTAAATCTTTGAATCAATTCCATATTCTTAAATTTTTATTAATTCTTTATTATTCATCCATTCATCAAGTTACTGATATAAACATCGTAAATCCAATTTAGCTCATTTTGTTTTTTGTTTATTCCTAATACATTTAATTTTCAAATTCTTCTCATTTTTTATTTTATAGTACTTTTTAATAATTCTTGTACAATGTGTATCTTTTGGGTTCGTCAGGTTCATGATTAATATTTTTTTTATAGCTTCATTAGAACAAAAAAAAAATAAGTTTTTGCTTTGCTTGTCCAAAAAAGAATAAAACTTTTAGCAAAATAACATCAAGTATGCAACAAATAAATGCATGAAACAAGATTAACACTTTTTCATCTTTAAATATATAAAAAATATTTGGTAACACCCTATAACAATCAAAAAATATATAAGCATAATACACTTATTATCGTAATATTGCACAAATATCGTTTAGCTTGAAATAATAGTCACAAAAAAAATAGTGATATAATAAAACATGTAAGTTGGTGGAGTTGATAGAAGAGTAGAATATGATGATCATGTCTGGTGTTGGTTTTTTGTGATGCTGAATTAGCAGGCACGTTTCTAGAGAAATTGAATTGCTTAAAGCTTAGAAGTTATTATACTACCCGAATGGGTCAATAAATACATTCATTCAATTGTAATTCCTTCATGGTTTTTTGCGCTCCTTCAAACAGTTTGAGTACTGTTTTAGGGAGCTTTTTCCATGGACGAAGGAAAACAATGAAATAATGAATAAAATTCAAATTCAAATAGTTTTAGGTTTGCTTAAAAACGAATAGCTGATCTGGTGTGTCATCTCCAATGTTCTATGATATCCTTAAAATCCATCCGAGAGTGATAAAGCCTCAAAGTCATTCATTTACAAAGTAAATGAATAATTATAGCTTAGTTGTGATAATCCTTTAGATGAATTGAATCATGTTGTTTTGAGTACTTGACCCGATGATTTGTGTGTTACTCTTTTGACCGTGTTTTTCTCAAAAGTTTTTCCCAAGTAAGTGATGACTGACCAATCAGAATCCAAAATTAATTCACTTTTATTGATTAATAACCTTTAGTCAAGGCGTGGAAACTATCTCAAATATCCCATTTATCCCATATATCCCAAAAATATTCAAAACTGCCTTTAGTCCAGTGATGATATTTTCTGAATCTTTATCCCAAATCAGGCTCAACGTTTGCTCTCCCATGAAATAATTCACAAATGAGCTTCTGATAGCTGCCGAAAGCCTAGCAAGGATTCATTACTTTTAAATATCAACCAGATCACAATCATTCTTATTCCTATCCTTAATTATTCAACTCCATCTATAATAGAAAAAATCATAGAAAGAATAATAGGACATTTGGGTGGATAGAAAAAGATATAAGAGGGTCGCATGCAATGTTGTTGGAATGATGCAATTATCTTTCTTATTTTCACAATTAAAATTCTTTCCATTTTAAGGATCATTATTTAACACTAATTAATTATCAATAAAGTTTCAATCTCATGACATGATTCAAAAAGTTTTAAGGATCCTTAATGTCTATTGATTAGTTTTGAATTAAACAGTTTTTTTAAATATGAAATTTGACTATAACATGTATTTAAAGGAATATAAACGGACAGGAATTTTTAAGATCAACAAACAGTTATTAAATTTATAGGTTTTGATGCATGCCATGAGAAAAGAATGTAATTTAATTTCTTCTTTATATCTTAAATTAAACGACTGATACAGAGAGTTGGTGATTTATGGTGTATGACTTTTACGACTAGATGACAGAGAGAATTTTACTTATTCACTGTTTCAATATTATGGGTGATTTTTTTGTTCCGATTCAACCGCTTTTTATCTTCTTCAATATAAGTTAATTTAATAAATTATGCTTAATATTTTTGTTTAATTTTTTTTTCTCGATCAAGAAGGTTCGAGAGTCGGTTGGAAATTCATCAAATAGACACGGTTAGCTAATCTGATATTGTTGATATCCTGAACTAGAGCTACCTTTAGACATTCTCTAAGGCAATGGCAATAGACCTATGTGCACCCCAGCCAAGCCAGAAGCTAATAAATAAGCTAGTCAAAGTTGATAAGGATCTATTTAAGTAGACCGACATGAATAGAAGCATGGAACCCCTTTAATTAAGCTACGTCTTAAAACACAAGCATTTGATATTTTATCAACTTTGATAACACTGAGAGCAATTTTAACTTGAGTTGATTGACGTTGATTGATTTAAAGCGAGGAAGCTTTGTTATAACGAATCGACAAACTGCGACAAACCAAAGCTGTTCGAATCGCTTCTTATTCGTGTCAATTTAATGTCAAAATGAGAACATATTCATCCAAGCACCAAACTACAATATTATGAGCAATGCAAATGCTAAAAGGAAGTCAAAATTGAATTATATGAATTTCCTCAACATTCAAACCTTCTTGATCTTTTTGTTTTTATAATTTTTTAACTTCTAGAAATTAGTTCTGTTAATTAGACAATTTTTTATCGTTTCATCAATGTTACAGACAAACAAATAGATATTAAGTCAGCCCATTTAATCTTCTATTATTTTTTTAAAAAGTTTTTTTTTTTGGCAAGAAGACTTAATTAGTAAATTTCGTCAACCACTGGTAATTCTCTTCTCTAAACTAATAAAATTATTATTTCCTCATCTCTCTTTTTTAACTATTATTAAATATCTAATGCACACATAAAATGACATATATTCCCATTTTTAATTTAATTTTTTTTAATGTCCTTCAAATATTTTACTAATAATAAATTGTTATTTCGCAGATCACTTAATTCCTTACTCGGTAATTTTTCATTTTCTACGTATCATTTCCCATTCACCGCAAAGATGCAAAAACGTACATTTATCAAAAACAACAATAATAAATAGAAATTAAAAGATAATTAATTAATCCTATTAATTAGCGTTCTTTTTCTAGTGTAAAATTAAAAATTTCCATTTAATGATTAAAGAGTTGATAATTGGAATAAGTCAGCACTTGAGTTGTGAGAAAATCCTTTCCATTTAACTTGACAAATAATCTGTCTGGCAGTACTGATATCTGGGTTATTGAGTTCAGGTTGTTGATTAATGATGTCATTTCTATCATCATAGTTGCTCTTAACACCCAACCTAACATCACTATCATTTAAATCCACTGCCCTTAAAATCCAATCGAACTATAAAGTGACGATTACCACTATTTACGTATAAATAACCCCTTTCAATTACCAACTCGAAATGAAAAATTCATCAAAATTAAAAAGACTTAATAGCTTAAGCTCAGACATTAAAAAAGCTTTTCAGTTATTCTCAATCATTCCGCATCAGAACTATAATGAGCGATTTAATTGATTTTTGTGATTTTTTTCTTCTTGTATTCTTTTTTATATAAATATAATATAAAAGTTTTCTAAATAGTTGTCGTGACAAAAAAAAAATAAACTAGTCGAACAAATTGAAAATAATAAATTTGGGGACAAGATAAAGTTGAAAATAAATAGAAATTTTCTCTTTGTCCATTCCAGTAGTAATTTTTGTGTTAATAAATTACTTTAAATTAATTTAACTGAGGTCCAAAATATTTCGGTTATATAAACTATCCTTCAATTGATGGAATAACTGCAATTGCTGCTCTGGTTTTAGATTATAAACCTTAATTTATTTTAAAATAGAAACAAAAACAAATAGAAAGTTTTAGTATTAAGCAACAAACAGTTTTACGAGTAATTAAATTATAATTTTGTAATAATTTGTTTTCATTTGTTTTGTACATACCTGTGCCAATAACTTTTGTGGTGATGCAGTGCGAATAAAGCTTGAAATGTAGACATTCACGAATGTAGCCATCAAGAATTGACAATCAAATCTGTCCATTATACCGCCATGGCCAGGAATCATATCTCCAAAATCCTAAAATGACAATCAATGTTATGACAATTATAAATTGAAGCATAAGTCAAGCTATCTACAATTTTAATGGTATGAATGTTGTCACTCGTGGCTGAGTAAAGCGCTTGTCATTTATTTTCTAGCAATGCATTTCGGACAGTATAATTTAAGCTTAATAAAAACTTTTTAAAAATAACAATCAAAAAATATTTGAAAAATAACGGTCTCAAAAATTTCAAACTTTAACAGTCATTATAAATTTAAAATTTATGCTAACCATGTAGTGCAACATACGCGCAACAAAGTGCACAAAATCACGTCGTTCCTCTTTTTAAAATGTGCTCTAAAATGCAGTTTTGCAATAAAATAAATATTTCATGACTAAAGTGCAAAATTAGTTTCGCAAAGCATCGCAAATAGAAAACAAAGCAGCACGAGATAGTTTCAAATTTCATTATCTCACCTTGATTTTAAATGCACGTTTAAATCCTGATGCAAAGAAGCCACCAAATGGTCCAATCACGGAACTGAAGATGCTCAATGATAAGGAATGTATCGCAAATGGATACATAGTAAAGACTGTCTCAGCTTTTCCCTAAAAATATAGTTCAAATATTTACTCAACTGGAAATTAAGAACACAATAAGATTACTTACGATACGAATTCCATATTCTTGTGGTCTGAACAAATAGCTTGGCTCACATTCGAGTACAATTTTTCCAGCCGTTTCCGAATACTCAATCGGACATACAAAGTATTGGAATCGACATAGAAAGTAAGAGAATACGACACCGAAAATCACTGTCGCAAATCCACCACCGATGAAGCCTTCCCATGTCTTTTTTGGACTCAATTTGATGAGTGGCGTTTTGCCAAAGAAAAATCCAAACATATAAGCCATAACATCATTACAAACAATCATCATGACAGGGACGACAAACCAAATCATTCCTAAAAAAAGAAATCAATAATTGTCGGTCATTAACTTTATCATTTTGTTGCTATATTACCTTCAAATATATTCTGAATGATCAAGTAGCTTTGCGTGACGACAATAAGGAGAGCAACATGTGTCCAAGCAAACAAGCTGAATTGCTTCATATAATATTTCTTAACTAATGACAAGACAAACCAAACAAAGCCAATGCAGTACAGACAGAATGAAATGAAGCGATGATAAGTAATTAGGAAGCGTAAAGACTCAACGCGACTAAATAAGACTCCCAAATAGTCGAAGAGATTTTCTCCATAGAAGAAATAATTTGATGTGACTAGGAAGTACCACGAGAGGCTTCTGAACCACGGTAAGCCATGAATTCGATAAACTTGATATCCAATTCCAATGATCTCTGAGAAGCATTTTACTTGTACGGCAAGTGTCTATAATAATAAAGCAGCAGTGAGTAAACATTTATGAGAATCTGTGTAGATTAAAGATAATTACAGTAATCATCAATGCAAGCGGTCCACCGGCAATCATCATACAGAAACCTGAGATCATAATGAATGTGAAAATTCCCCGAATCACCCAATTCTTCCATCTGTTGCGTGCATCAAGCATAAATGTACGAAATATGAGAATGATTAATTTTATTGGAATCGTAAATCGATATAATATAGATATGCGACAATTCATTTCCATAATAAGTAATTGTTGCTGTGAATATCCAGTAAAACGTTTAATTAAAAAACTCGACCTTGTGTGTATGACGAGTGCTCAATTAAGGTCATTTCCCACTAATTATGGAACTTTTTTGTTTGCACGTTAATTATTACATACCTGTCAGGGAGACCTTTAAGTGCCGAGTTTAGAACTTCAGGTCTCTTATCAGTTCCTTGCGGATGTTTCTTTGACAAATCTTTCTCATATTTATCATCAGGCGTTTTCTCTTCTTCGGAGTCAATCTATAAATAGTGAGGATTTTGTGGAAAGAAGTCAAATGAATGCTTTTGTTTATATACTGACTAGCTGCATGAATAATATTTTGCACATATTTTTTTAAAAAGTCTTCAATATGAACATTTCACATTGGATTTATATCCGTTATCTATTTCTCGACTTATATTTGGAATGAGCTTAAGTTATTAGAAGCAACTTTATTTTTACCGCCACATTTCTTCGTGACCTAAAGCTATGTATATATAGTCAAGATAAAATTTGTAGTCGAGTACATTATTTTCGTACGTAATTATTGAATGAATTATGTTTGCCTTGAAAAATTAAAGACGATAAGGCACAACAACCGGACCTTTTTAGACGAAAAAAAGAGTAACATGATAAGCACTTCAAAAACTTTTTTCGTGACAACAAACGTGAAAAGATATTGTCAATGCAGTGATTACATTAATAATTGAACAATTGTATGTTTTTTATGCTCTATATAAAGCTATTAAATTTTCTATGTATCTTGTTTACACATAAAAGTTAATCGACTAGTTCCATGAGAGAATTGCAGAATGTGTATAACTCCCTAAATAGTTATTGCATAAGAAATCAATATGTATGGAAATCAGCAATCGGCTAGTTAATCCAATTTACCAAAGTTACTTTGTTGCTTCCATAACTTTTTTTCATTCATTCTTGAAAAATCAATAACTTAATATTTTTTTCAACACTTTTTGACTTACTTGATCAGAATCAACTATCTGATTTTCAACATATATATCTCTGTCTGAATCATCTGCATTTGCTTTATTCTCATCTAATGTTGCTTTATTAATTACAGAATCTGAATAATCGCCAGATCCTAAATTCACATTTCGTCTTCTTAATTCTTTCTCTTGATCACTTGATACATCACTCGTTTCACTCATTTTCGTATTTTTCCAATAATATGAACTGGATACGATGCAGAAAATGTAATATTATTAATGTTTTGTGGACACTCTTTTTCTTTATTGTTCAATTTTTTTCTCTTCTATAAGCCGCAGCTTATTAAGCTTACACCTGTCAATGTTTTCTAAAACTGTTTTATTTATATTTCGATGTTTTCTTATTTTGCGGAATGTTTCAATGTTCACTATGTGACAGTTACATCAATAATTGATTTTAAATAGCTTTATGCTGTATATTATCGTGAATTATGTCACAGAGATGACACAAAGTCAAAAAACAATGAACAAATTTTTTTCTGTACTTTTTTCTCAGAAAAATTGTACAATTTTTTCAAATTTTTCGTTACCGTTAAAAGTAATTTGAATGTTCAAGCATTTCAAAAACAATCGGATCACAAAACATTTGTTGCTGCACATTTAGCATTATTAATATAAGAAATCAAGCAATTCTTTAAGAATGTAAGTATTGATTCAAATGACAAGGCTCCATTCTAGCATTTGATTACAAAATATTACTAAAACATGCTTTATTTGACTCAATAAATTTAAAAACATTTTTGCAGATCAAACTCAAACAATTCAAAAATAAACATCTACTTTTAAGGCATAATGGTAGACAACGAAGATAAAAGAACCCAATTACCACAGAGTTTCTCATTAGATGACTTTGTGTATGAACGACTTTTGTCAAATAATGCAAACCGTAAAGTTATATTTGTTCTTGGAAGGTGCTTTAACTTACCGGCAATCGTTATATTGGAGAAGATAGCATTTACAGAAGAACAATTTAGTGGAACTGACGATAAGTCAACTATTCTGAAAAACTCATCCTTGGAGAAAATCATGGAAAATGATATTTATCAAAACAACTTCTGCAGAGTTGATTCAGACTTGAACAAGTTAAAGGCAACAATCATATATCCAGCAACTGAAAAGCATATCAGCAAATATACAGAACAAAAGATTTATGTATTGAAAGAAACTCCAGAATTGTACAAGTCTGTTACTTTGCCATGCTTAGAAAAGGAACAATTTAATTGTGACTGGGTCTACAACATTCTCGAACATCGCCAGGAAGTTGATCGTATAGTAATTGAAGATTTGAGCCCTGACGTAGGATTTATGCTATTGCCTGATTTAAAGTGGGATGGGGTTACTGATGAAACTATGTATGTAACAGCCATAATAATGAACCGAAGTATTAAGTCTATCCGTGACCTCCGTGAATCTCACCTTCCATTGTTGGAAAATATCAAGTCAAAATGCTTAGCAGCAATTAAAGACAAATACGGTGTCAATTCAAACGAAGTTCGTGCTTATTTCCATTATCAGCCCTCATATTATCATTTACATGTTCATTTCAACTATTTGAAGTACGATGCACCTGGAATCTTCTGTGATAAAGCTCATCTTTTGGATACAGTCATCGACAACATTAAAATGGTTCCAAACTATTATGAAAAGGCAACTTTAAGCTTCACTGTCCGAGAAAATGATAAGCTTTATGATGCTTATAAGTCGATTGCAGAGGAATGAATGCTTTATGAATTTTTATACTATTAATTGTTCTATAATCTTTTATCGTACTCAATGAAACTGAATAAAAAGTATTTCTAAGGATATTTTGAAGATAATTTTCAGAACTGTTCAAATTTTCTTGAAAACCCTGCAAATGTTTTAACAAAACCGTTTAAATGTTTTTAAAATCAGTGTTTCGAAACCATACAAATGCTAGTAATTATCTTCAGAAACAATACAAATGTTTTCAAATCCCAAATTTATTAAAAATTCAAGTCACATACTTTTAAATAGTTTATTTTTTTTTTATTTTCATCAAAACTATTAGTGAAATTTCATTCAATCACAGACAAATCTATTTATATTAATTAATAATTCAGTAGTATGTACAATGTCATTGTAGGTTCATCCAACAAATCTTACCTTAATTGATTAATTGAAATATAATTTTATCATAATTTTCTTCTCATGTCCCATCAATTAAGTTCCTATTATTTACGCTTTGTTTTTTGTAAGATAATGAAATATATTTTTTTAAGTTAAACGTTGTTTTAAGTTGTATCGCAAGGATACAAAAAAAAAATTATAAATGTTATTAACTATTTTATTGTATCAGTTTTTTTTGTTGTAGGAGGAGCTTTTAAGCAAATAAATAAATTTAAAAAAATCATAGTCTGACTGACAGAAATAAGACATTTTTGTAAATATTTGGCAGAAGAAACTGGAAAAAATCTCTATTTATAATTTATGTGAAACTATTTGGGTTGTCACTTGAAATTTTATGCACATTTTCATATTGTGTGCTTGTTCAATTTATACATTTTGCATCTTTGTGTCATTTCTTTTCAGGAGGATTTAGAGAGAAAGAAGGGAAGAGAGAGTATTCAAATGGCAAAACAACTGTCACACATCTTGATTCATGCACAATTTACACAAAAAATTATTATTTAGTGACGGAAACACAAAAATGACACATACGATCCCGAGCATGCTATACAGTTCGAGAATTTGTTCTTGGCGCTTGTTTATACTCCATCCAGATTTGGTAGCGAACGTGAATTATCTATAGAAGAGCTATTTGTGGCTGCATGTCCATCAGATGCCTTTCTATTAGATCTTAAATCTATTTCTAAAATATTTTGTATATTTAATTCCATAGGATCAAAATCATCACTTTTCTCGAATATCAAATCATTCATGTTTGCCTCATTTGGCTCATTCATTCTTTTCGTCTTAGTTGTAGCCGTAGCTGTTGGAGATCCAAATACATGTTGCTTATTATTTTTGTTATCAATTAAAAATTCATTCTCAAATTCACAACTATTTAAAAGCTTTGTGTCTGAATAACGACGTCTTTTCTTCTGATGTCGCTCATCACAAAATGAGTCTTCATCATGGTCTCCAGAGTTAATTGTTGTTGGTAGTAATAAAGTCGAATGACGATGAGTTATTTTTGGATAATTCTTATCATTAAGTATATCATCATTCTCAACAAAAATAGACGTTCCAATTTTGTTATTATATCGAATTTGCATTCGTCTATCGTCATCATCATGTTCCTTTACTTCTTGTAACCCAGGAATTATTCTATGAAAATTTGAATCATTATCACCTGTTAAATTCTTTGTTGTAGCTGATGTATTAGTTGTAGATACGGACGTATTATCATAGACATTATGTAGACTTCCACGAGACGATGTACCTTCATCGTGACGTAAATGGTGCTTAAATGAGATCTGACTGTAACTAATATCGTCATCGAGTTCATAACTTAGAGAATTATTCTCAATATTGGCAACAATTTGGGATTGCTGTCGATGTGAGGGATGAGCTGAATTATACTGATAATGTTGCTGTTCGTTATTTTCAATTACATTTATTGGTGCTGTTATGACCATAATTGAGCTATTATTACGACGAAGCATTGATGAGGCGTTTGGCTCAACAGAGGATTGATGAGAATTTTGTAATGTTGCTGGCGAATGCGATGGATGTAGAACGGGCTTCTCGGGAGCATTTTGAATTAATAATATTCTAAAAAAATACATACATGGATATGTGGACTATGTATGGCAAGGTTAATTGTATTTTTATATGATTGTTTCATTACCGATTTCTGGCACGCCATCTTGAGCATAAATTTAAATACTGTTTGCATTGTATGTACATGAAGACAATTCCTCCGGTGAGACCTACAGTCACAACAACTAATTTAGTCCAAAAAGGCCATCCTAGCTTTCCCAATCGTACCTGCAAACGAATAAATAGTAATTTACTCACGGCAAGCACACAACGGAATTATCAATAAAGGATTTATAAGGAAGTGAGACAATGTGAATTTTAACGGAAGTTCAAAATTTAAATTCAAGCTCAAAAATTTGAACTTAATTAAATATTCAAATCATACATAAAACCGTCAAAATTCTAAGTATCTACGCCTCAATAATAACAGCAATTGATAATGGAATTGATTGACAGACATAAAATGTACTGTTCCATTAAATGTTTCACTTACTTCCTCCGCCGAACGTTCAATTAAGACACACAAACTCCAAATAACACACAAAGCAGCAGCTAAATGGAAAAGTACAGCACAAAAAAGTCGACGACGCTCCACACCAGACATGTCCAAACTTCGCCACTGTTAAAAATAGAGTTGACATTAATATATTGTTGCTGATTGAAAACAAAACTGCTGTTTATGATAATTAAATGCATTGATAATCGAAATCAGTTACTTTCTATTTTCATTTTCATTTTTTTTAAGTTCAGTTCATTAATGATAATTTTTTATGTCTCATGAATGTTCAAGCCCACTCATTATTATTAAATAATATTCAGCTATAGATAAAGGAATCAACTTGACCTCGCTCAATTTCAATCACGCACGTTATAATTGTGGTCATCACCATAAAAGAATTTACATTTTTCGTGTTCGTTACGCGACTCCTGGAATTATAGCTTAATATTATAGCATGCATGTATTCTTTTCATTTCTCGTTTGTATGTTGATATTTGCATAAGACACGAATTGTTTACAAAATCTTCTCTCTTTCGTACCAGCTGATTCATTAAACAAAAAAAAAAAACAAAGCTAGTAAGTAAGTGAACGGAATCGCATCGTGTTGACTACGATTTTTGAAGTATTAAAGGCAAGGAAATCAACGAATAATGTAAATATTTGCTCCACTTTAATATCTTCCTTATAAACAGCAGTTTACAATCTATCGAGAAGCTCCTCAATTAAATGTCATTCTCACCTCATTGAACGGCTTAATTTTTGACTGCATTATGAACGGAAATTTGCCTGTTATTTTGGAATTGGATGTAGCATGTAAATAAATTATAAAAGTATTAATCATTATAATTAATCAATCGTATGTGACATGAATATAGACATACACAGCTCGCAGGAATTCATTTCGCTAGCAGTAAGCCATTGCTGGAGACATTGTTGATGAACATATCGAAGGCTTCCAGCGCACATACATGGAGTTAATAATGGACTTATAGCATCTGTCTCGTGACATATTCTGCAAAAATCACCGCTTGTTTGACTCGAACTTGATGAGCCGAATCTATAGCAGATGACAAATGGAATAAAATAGAGGAAATGACTAGCTTGTTGTAGATGTTTTTAGTATCGCAATAAAATAATCGATTTTTTTTCTTCTGTGCATCTCAAAAACTTGTATTGAGAAAAGTTTATAGTGAATAATGAATATTTATCAATAAGTACACACTTTTCACTTGTTTATTTCATGACTGTATTTACGTAATACTCCCAAATTATACGATTGTATGGAAAAAGTCCATTTTGATACTTTTAACTGCTAATCTTTATATCAGATTAAATTATAAGCACTATTTTTGTTATTATTAAGGCACAAGACAATGGAAATAATGCGTAATTAAATATTGTTTAAAATTACCTATACTCCAAATGTTCAATACTAGTTTTTCGGATGTTTAGCGGATCCATTTGGGAAGGAATTTTTGGAATAAAATCAGTAATTTATGTCTTTTTTCACTTCCTTAATTATCATTCGCCATCAAACTTTTCTTATCTGATTTTTCCAATATATCTTTTCACTTCTGTCCAATTTAAATGCTTTTATTTCATCAAATTAATGCTTAACATAATTTTTTACATTGAAAAATGAGAATATACAGTCAGTCAATGTTCACATTCTTATTTGTTAAGCAATTTAAAGCTGTTTTAATCATCAAAATTCACTTTTGCTACTGAAAAGCTTAACTTTAAAAATAAAAGAGAGAAAAAAGTCGGAAAAAACTTCACGAAAACAAAGGAATGACAACTTGGTAGCATATGATTCAAGTTGATGCTTTATGCTGCATGCTGCGCATTCTTACCGGTTAAATTATTTTTAAATTTCTAAAGGATTATTTTGTTTTAAAGTAACGGTTTCTTGAATTTCAAATGAACTGAAACGACACAAACGATTATGTTACTGAACAAATATTTAAGGCACACTTCAAAATTTCAAATTCCCTAGTAATTAAAGATTTTCAGGTAATTGGATCCTAAAAAAAGCTTTTAGCAATATATTCTTAATCATTTTAATTAGTAAAAACTACCTGAAGCAGAGTATAAAGCGAGAAAAACAAGATCCAGTCAAAGTGAAATTTGTTTTTTAAAATTCATGCTAATTCAGTTTCGTTGAAAGTTCGTTTAAAAATAAACCAAAACAACAATAAAATTGTTTAAAAAAGTATTTTCATTAATTCCCTACCTTTTTCGCCATAACCAATCACATACTCGACAGACATGATAGCAGGAGGGCACGGAAATCAGAATCCCAATGAAGATTGGACAATGTCAAAAGGTAAAAATCCTTAATATTGGAATAATTAAGATTTTTTTATTTTGCATTAATTAAATTCAACAGGATTCTACATGTTTTATATGCTAGTTGTCGCCGTTTTTCATCTGATCTTACTGTCAATACCATTTATCTCAACGCCTATGGCTTGGACTCTAACAAATATTACTCATAATCTCGCACATCTCTATTTTCTGCACATTATTAAAGGTAATTTGCATTTTCTTTTAAGTTGCATTTATTGGCAAGTGATGACGCTATGTTCATCCAAAGATCAAACACTGTAAAGCTTAAATTGAGTTCCAACTGAATCTTATCTGGTTTGGTTGTGTTAGTGTCAAGCATAATTTTCAAATCATTTTGTTCCGTTGAAAAATTAATTCTGAACTGAGATTTACAAAGAGTGATAATTAACTTAGGGGCCGTTCACTTATTACGTTACGCAAAAAAAACGACTTTTTTCACCCCCCCCCTTGTTACAATATTTTACAACTCACATACCCCCCCCCCCCCCCTTATCCTCCTGAACATTCATAATTTATAGATATGGAGCAAGATAGCTTAAAATGTTCAGAGGTGAAAAGTTTGTGCCTGGAATTTCACATCTTTTGCAAAAAACAGATTTCAAATTGGTTGCAGCATTGCTGAGAAAATCGCAAAATACGCTTTCTGTAAGCAAACAAGTAAGCAAGTTAATCAGCAAGAAATCTCAATAACAAGACATCGTAGAGACTTCTAGTTTTTTTACATTTAATCCGTGCTGCTCTATAGAAGAGCTGTACTGTTTTTGGGTAAGGTAGGAACAGCCGTTTCTTCAGAAAAAGCAAAAAACTTTCCTTTCTTACGAATTTTTCAAAACAAAAGTTCACTGTGATTTTTTTTAAATTAAACTTTGGTACAATTTTTCAACCCCTCCCCCCTAAAATGCGAACGTAATAAGTGAACGGCCCCTTATGTATATTGTATATTATTAGGTGCCCCTTGGCAATCGATAGACTCACATGAACACATCAGAGAAACTCATTGGGAGCAATTAGACAGGTAAACTTAAAATGACATTTAACTTAACTATTTGACTTTTAATCCTGTGCATTTTAATCCAGCGGCGTTCATTGGACACTTCAGAGGAAGACACTAATCTCAATTCCAATAATCCTATTTTTATTAACATGCATGTACACCAGAAACGATGAAATCCACTTTATAGCCAACTTTATATCTCTAATAGTTTGCATAATCCCAAAGATGCCGTCGTTTCATCATCGAAGACTATTTGGCATCAACAAATACTAGACTGCAATATGTGATTAAGTTTTGAAGAAATCATATTTTATTAATCCAGTCAGAACAACTTTAGCTGGATGCTATCCAAGAAGAAAAACAAAGATTTGTTTTTTTCTATAAATTTCTCATCTTTTATTTTATTATTTAAGTTTAAATATTTCATATTTTACATACTTGAAGGCTAGTGCTGCTTTAAAAGTCAAGTCTGTTACTTCAATTAAGGTTACAGGAATGACCTTTAAAGCATAAATGCCTAAAATGAAAAATAATAAACTGATACGATTAAAAATTACATTTTATGTTTCATTTTTATGTATTTTTCTTCATGTTTTTAAATCCAAAAGAGATAATAGTATTAATCATATTCAGTAACACCTAATGTATGACTCTTTTCCGCATTATTTCAAGAGATAAGCAATGTTCCTTTATCTATGTTTTAATGACATCAATTCGCAAAAAATAGTTTTCAAAAAAGTAATCAAAATAAAGAAGCATTAATAACACAACAAAAAAAAAGAAAGGCAGCAAGCAAACTTATTATGATGATGTGGCTTGTCTGACTGTTACACTAATTAATAAATCGAAGAAATATGTGTTTAAATTTATCGCACTAAAGTGATCAGCTAAGGATCAGCAAAAAAGAAAATGTTAGAAATTTAATCGTGTAAAGTTCTTGACACTATCAAGAATTTTGAATAATATAAAGAATCAGCAGTAGGAAAGAACAGTGGAGCCTTATATCTCGTACTTAGCCTTGATAGTCGATGAAGCCTTGACTATTGAATCAGAGTGAATATGATACTGAATTTTGACGGATTCTCGCAAATTAAGGCCTTCTTTTAACTTCCGACCGATCTCCATAACTGCATCTTTGTTGGTACTATTGCCTGTCCAAACAGCTGAAATAATCAATTAGTCATTTAATTATTCATCACAAAAGTCAACAATTCTTACCGATCTTGTCTCCTTTAGCTCGAATATTAACAACTGCGCCACAAATATCATCAAAACTATCAAATGCTTCACCGATTAAGCACAAAACTGTATCAATCCAATAGCGATCTAATTCAGGACGTTGACTCTTTCCTAAAGTTATCATCCAGCGTCCTCCATTCCTGTTTGCAATATCTTCCCACATTGGTCGAATATGTTCCTTGAAAAGAGAATAATCACTTCCAATTTTAACTTCGCTTGGTTGCTTTATGTGAGTAAACAAGCTCCAGAAATCCTCAACTGTCGTAAATGTCGACACCTTATTTTGATTATCTTCCCATGACTTGTTACGATCTGGCTCGAAATACCACAAAGTCCAAGGATGTTGTAAAGGATGTTTGACTAATTCGGCCTGAGATGGAGCCAATTGTTCTTGCTTAGTATGTTCAGTTGAGTTTTGCTATATTAATTAAAGAAAACAATGAAAAAACATTTATTTTTGTATTTAAGCTATTTTAGAAGTGAACTCTTTACAATCTTTGTGACATATCCACTTGATGTCGATGCAAAAGACATTTTAAATACTTTATAAGGCACTAGATTCAGAGGAAGTAATTTAATTTAGACTTTTTTTGCGAGCGAATTGATTTAAGGTCAAAATTTTTGAGAAAATGTGAATTTATCAAAACTTTCTTAGATTATTTTTGTTATATTTAAGTTTCTAATCTTTTAAATTGAACGCAAAATCTTTAAAAACAAATATTTTTCAACAAGTCTCGAAATTCGAGTGTCTCAAAAAATAGAGCATGGAATTAAGCCTGATAAAAAATCATCAATTTTTTGAAACTTATTTTTCTCATCAAAAACGCAAGATTCTTGATGTTTTCTTATGTACTCCAATAGAATGGATGATGCTTTACACTTTTCACTGCTTTAATACTTACACTCATTAGTTCTGATGCCATTTTTATAATAAAATTAATTTTTTTCAGAGAAAATTGATGTAAAGTTTTTTGAGTCGTACGTCGACAACGTAAAGTGATGTCCGTGAAAAGTAGGTAGAATATTAAGGAAATTTTAACCACTTCTAGATTTTTTGATGAAGAATTTTTAAAGATTCTTATGGAGTTTGAAGCTTTTTAATATTATTGATGCTATAATCACTATAACGACATGATAAATGATTAAAAAGAATCAAATAAAAAGATTTAAAATCCTAATATTATTTACCAAGAACAAAAATCTGTAAAACCCCTTTTACGTTATTTTACATACGTAAAATTCAAATCATAAAAAAACTGTTACAACAGTTTAAACACAAAAAGGATAATTATCGACAAACAAGCTGAAAATCAATCAAAATAAGCAGAATCGAGATTTTTATCGAATTTGTATGGTGTGTCCACTTGTCTTCGAGCTCTGAAAATAAGGAACAAAACCAAGCTATTTTTGTTATGTGAAATCCAATTTTTCTTTATTAATTCTCCTACTTTTTTAAAAGTTCTCAATTTTTTCGGTTCTTGTACATGTTTTAGCTATAAATTAATTATTTCAACAAATTGTATAAAAAAAGAATGTTTCAAAATAATAATATTAAAGTTCACAAAAAATATAATAGCCACATCTTTTTAAAGTTAAATTTATCACACGCAGAGCACGGGTGTGATTTTTTTTATGAAAATATAATTAATATAATTATAATGTTAGAATTAAGTGTATATCTAGCATATACAATTGCATTATAATATCAAAAGTGTGTCGCATCAAGATTAATTAAATTTTTAAAAAAAATGTTTGTGTATGTATGTGATTATCTGACAATGAAAAATATATATATTTTTAAGGAAGAAAAATAGTTTTAAAAAAATTGAAAAGGGAAATCCGAAAGCTGATTTTTTGGTATACACGAAAAAATTTCTCTAATATAAGTTCACTCGAAAAACTTTAGGTAACTTAGAAAGCTTCCTAAAAACGCATTCACCTAATGTTGGCATATAAATTTAGAACACTCTTATTCTCCTTTTGACTACGAGCCTTACTAAATACGTTCCAGAATCTTAAGGTCTCATCACCGGCTCCAGTAACAATTGCTTCTCCATCAGGACTAAGTGCTAGATACAAAACTCGATATGAATGTCCAGTCAGTTTAGCAACTTGTGTTAATGATGGATATTTCCATACGAGAATCTGATTTTGTGAGTAGCCGTGTGTTGACACAAGCTCAGATGAGTGCTTTGACCAAGCTAAATTGCCTATTAAAATATTAAATCATCTTTAAGTTTTATGTTTGTCTAATATTAATGAGTTGTGCTACTTACAAACTTGAGATCCCGTATCCACACATTGCATTGGCTGTCCAGTTAATGTATTCCAAAATCTAATACATCTATCGGCAGTTCCACCTGTTTTAATTGACGAGAAAATTTTCAAACATTAGGCAGATTCAAATTTTAACGGCTTTCAAAAATTCAAATTTTAACGCTCTTCAAAAAAAACTTTGTCATAATTCTTCAATAAATAAAGCAGTTTTAAGCAGACTGGGAAATCCCATACACTTCAAATCATGAGTTCAAAGTTCTCATAAAACAGACTCGACTCATTTAGCCAAGAATGCAATAAAGAAATTAAATAATAATACAACACATACCTCCAGACACTAAAAGTCCGTGATGATGTGGCGACCAAGCAATTGCTTTTACTGCTGCCATATGCTCAGTATATGATTGTACGGGAGTTACTGCATGTTGATTCCACACATATAATCTATTGTCATTGCCACCACTAGCTAAATATTGATTATCTACACACAAAAAATAAAGCAAGTTAAATTAAATTTAAATGACATTTAAGCACTTGACATACCTGGAGACCATTTAAGACCACAAACTTCCTGACGATGTCCTTCCAATCGTCTATCACAAGTCTGAGGTGGAGTTCTGGTATCTCTTTGCATAATTAGTCTATCTCGAGATCCACTCGAAAGAATATCACTATTCCAGGCCAATGCACCCACTCGTGCAGAATGTCCATTAAGTTTATTAACCTAAACAACACAAGAACAAGGAGGAGAAAGAAGAATTAATGAAAATGAAGAAGTCTTTTTTTAGTTTATTTTGAATTGAAATTTGGGTCGAATAGATACATTGAGAGTGCGTAAATATTTAAAATTCATATTGTATAAAATTAAGCGTACATAAAATACGCATTTATTTTCCATTAAAAGCACATACAACACAAGCAACATGTCGCAAAGAAATTCCTGTTATGTGCCATACTATTTTATTCCGAAAAAGTAAAGCCAACCTTTTTTTGTTACTCGTTTTTAATTACAATTTTAAATTAATGTACTTGAACTTATTTGCTTATGCTTACATTCTTAGACCTCAAAAACGTTTTGTAGTCATCGTAGCAATTTGTTGAGGTATTCTAAGAGCATCTTTTTTACCAGAGTAATTTAATTAAATTATAACGACTTTCTCAAATTTGAATTTAAAGCCTTACAAATTATATTGAAAATTTAAAACCTTACAACAGCGATACAAAACATTTGAAGAGTTTTTACTGGCAGTCATTTTAAATTTTAAATAAAAAACCTTACAACAGCTGTTTTAAAGACTGACATTTGTGAGGTTTTAATATAAAATATTCATAATTTGACAGATTTTTTCAGGATTTTGATACTCAGCCAGCACAAAGTGATCATTAGTAGGAAGATAATGCGACCCAAATATTTAAAATTCAACTAAAGAATAATGCTTACTTGTTTACTAGCTTGAACATCCCAAACAGTTACATAGCCATGATGAGTTCCTACAGCTAGTTGATGTCCTCGTTCACTCCATGATACTGACGTTACAGTATTACCATCACTACTTAAATCACACAGTCGAGTAACCTGTTATGTATTAAAAATTATATTATTAATGAAGAAAAAGAAAGTTCTTTATCAGTTTAATGCTGTATTACTCATGAATATTGAGGTTTTTTGTGTGTTATCATGTATGCACATGATTTATGTTTCAAAAAAAATGCTTACGATAAGATAATAAACTTACTTGACTCGTACATGCAGACCATAAATATACACAACTGCCTAAGCCTACAGCAAGTACGTTTTGTGCCGACCAATCTACAAGATTTAGGTAGAAATCGTCTTGTAGTTCCGGTGCGTCTAGTACTTTGAAAGGAATTCTTGAAATTTTTCTTGTTGCCTTTCTTGGCGAACGCAGCAACTTTTGACTCTTCAATGTGATTGGTGATAACGAATATGGACATGGATCGTTGAAATCCTATAAAGTATATAAGAGAAATGGAAATGATTATCAATTGAACCAAATTGACTGCAATCAATTCCAGTTTTATGCATTCACAAAAAAAAATTAAAATACATTCAAAAGAAGAAAAAGAACAGGCAACAGAACTGCTCAAGTTGACCCTGATTTCTCTCTCGAATTGCAATACATTTTTTTATAGCTGATATCGCATATAAAATTTCATTATTTATTCAATCAAAAGCTATAATATTGTATGCAGACAGTTGGAATTATTCAAAATAACAAGTAGCAATAAAAACAATTTTGACGATGATGCATTCCACAAATACCGGACAGATCATATTCATCAACGTTTTTTTTTTAAAAAAATATTAATTGAATTAGCAGGCACAAAATGACAAATTCATTCTGTTTATATAATATATGAGGATGATGATTGAATTATCAAAAAAAAATCTCATATTTGCTAAGAAACAAAAAGAAAATACAGAAATTTTTAAATTAAGAAGATATGTTAAGAGGCTCTTAAGAGGTTCTTAGCCATTGAACCGGTCGAGTATAAAGAAAGAGTCATCAGAATTAAGAGAATTAAACGCATATTAAGTTGTGAATGTCCTTGAAAAAAAATTATTAAATTTTTATCGGATTATTTGAGTTTAAAACTTTCGTCTAGTTGAACTGGATTGAAAAGAACTTTTTGGATTACTAAACGATTCCTTTCAAATATTTTGTGATAGCTAAAAACAAATTTTCAAAACAATTTCCGTTTGATAAATTTTATAACTTTTGAAATTCAATTTTTACAGACTCAAGATTTTTTATTTCTTAGTCATCAGCACATCAACCCCAAAACTAGAAAGGATCAGCTGATGACAAATGACATTCTTGATTAGAAGAAAATGTAAATTTCACGACAAAGCACAATCACATCATCGAGTCAGCCACTATAAACGAGTATGACAATAAATAAGCGATGACATAAAATTACCAAAAAAAATCAGGAGAGAAGAAACAAAGAAGCAAGAATTATTTACATTCGGTAAATACAATTTATTGCACAAATAAAAATCCGTAAAAAAAGAGTGAGCACGTTGTCTGTATAAAAATATAATTGTGACACAAGTCCAGGAGATAATTGAGAAGCAAATAGCGGTTTTTTAAGAAGATTTCTTTCTTATTTTTACTTCTTGACTTTTATTCTCGTTTGTTCTTAAGGAATTTCTTGTATATGTTCTCTCGGGAGGAAAGAACGGAGGTGTCACTCATATATACACTTTCAGCAAGCAAGAATAAAACAAATTTTTAAATATGTGTGCCTCTTCAAGTCATACAGTCATATATATAAACAAAATTTCTAAATGAAGAATCTTTTATGCAGGAAATATGAAGACGAAGCAAATATGGTAAGTTCGACAAATATTATATTCCATTATTAGAGTGTCACGAAAAAAAATAAAATAGACGAACGGAGTGAATCAGAATGAATACATTAGTAACCACCTACTGCGTCTAGCACAAATAATAAAAAAAAGTAAAAAAATTGCATATTAAGTCATCGAACTCACGAAACAAAAGAACAGCAATATACTTTTATGGCTGTGACTAATTGAATTGATAAGGAGTAAGAGAGTGCCGAAAGTAGTAATGTCAAGCATTAAACGGAAATGAATTATAAATAATAAATATGTACGAAAGTTAGAATGTATTTATTTTTTTTTTATCTTTCGAATTCTTACGAAAGGCACAACATGTCAATACCACATACATTCATCCATTGCCATCCACATGTATCGCTAGAAAATTCGCTAATTGAATATTTCAATAGTTTGACTCAAGTCGAGAACGTTTTCAAGCACTACTTATATTAATTAACAAGAAAAAGGCTTAGGACTTTAAGATCACGTTCGAATACTCTTTTGTCCAAATGTTGATCATTCACTTGTGATGTCTATCAATTAGTGGCGAGGGAGTGTATGCGATATTATGAATTCTTATAGAAAAGAATGCTTTTTTAAGAGGTTTAAGGGTCTTAAAAGTACCAAATTCTTGATGAACGTGATTAATGAACGACCCCAAAAAAAAGTCTTACTCACATACATACACTTATACTTAAGAAGTCATTGAGAGTTCAATTAACTTTAGCCTATTATGACTCAAAAAAAGCTAAATAAATAAGAATCATTATTGTTTAACACACATGTAAATATGTGTGTGTGGCAACTTATATGTGCATTCTTAAAGTTGCATTTCATTTATTCATTCATTGAAGAAGAAAATGAGTATTCCTGGCATGAAAAAAAAAGTTATAGTCAATATTGTTATTCGATCGTCATACCGAATAAGCAAACTGGTTATACTTTTTTGCAAAAAAAAAAGAAAGAAATTTCACTGCATTAAAAAAGAAAAAAAATGCGTAAATTTGCGATCTCATGAGACATTAGCTGTGATTCGCAATTTACATATAAATTACATTTAATTAGGCTGATTTTTTTGTGCAAAAAATTAAAAATTCGCTATAGTCGTAAAATAACTTTAGTTTCTAAACGCATCGATACGCACAAGAAATTAGTATGCACGATCGCTGGGATAATAAGAATTCATCGCTAAATTAATATGAAGAAAAAATGCGAAATTTGGAGTGACCATAAAAATTGAATAAATTTATCTTATTCCTTTCTTCATATTTGCCAGCTTATATGCGTATTTATTTGCGCAAAAATATACGGTTAAGATTTTATCTTAATGATAATAATTGCAATGCAAACTTTCATCTTCCTTCACTCAGTCTCAGAGACATGTAAAGTTTTTATCACCAGCATGGATGACTTGACTAACCGGATAAAGCACATTAAAACTAATTAGAACAAGTGTATCCTTAAATAAATATATAAGTGGGTCATTACAGTAGAAATTCAGTTGAAAATTAACGACTACAAAATATTTGAAAAATAACGACTGTAAAATATTTGAAAATTATGTTGCACATTTTTTTGAAAACAATAACGTACTTATGAGCAAGTCACTTCCAGAACATAAAAGAGAGTGCTTCACAATTGCAGAAAAAATGTGGTTAAAAAACTGAGGAAAATAAAATTGATAGCGCTGCCTTGAAGATTCACAAAAGTAAAAAAAAAAAGCTAAGTGGTGTGTGTAACGTATAGATTACATAAAATTACTCATTTGAAACGTTGATAAGAAAAAATTGTACAATTAGCACTCAGTCATGCGTAGTGCGATGTGTTCTCGCCTAAAAAAATTCTGGAGCAAAATTTGACCGCGATTAATCTCATCAGCCATATGATTTTGTATACAAATGCACTGTACTGTTTCTACACACATGTTTTGTTATCACAATATAATGCTTTTTGAAATTTAAAGTAATAAACCTTGAACGTGCTGAGACCTGCTACGAATCAATGTTCTTCGCAGTTTCTTGATTATCAAAATAAAATGTGCAAAATGCAATTAAAAATGTCTCATTCTTAAGTTCGGGTCATAAAAGTCTCATAATGCACACAATGTTTTTAAAGGAAGCGCACAAGTAAAACGGATCGTTAATTATGAAATAATAATATAATGAAAAGCTTATCAGCATAGAACACGAAAAATGGTTGTACATTAATTTAAAGTAATTACCTGTCTGGACGGTTGTTGAAATTTGAATAGACCTCGATTACTATTTGACAAATATCCCATTTTATTTTCGTCTGACACATTTTTGATATCTTCTATTGACGCACCAAGTAATTCGTTCTTTAATAGACATGAATAAGCAAGGCTGTCTCGTGCGGATTCTCCACATTCTCTCTGCTTTTTTGATTGTGATGAGTTTTCATTTGATTTTGTCAACGTTGAATAATTCGTTTCCCAATTATTGTTTGCTCTGAAAGTTCACAAATTTAATACATTGAGCTAGATATTTTATTTTAAATTATTTACGAAGGTAACACATTTATGGTGTGTGATTTATCAGCTTTCGCAACATTACGATGGGTAGTAAAAAAAAGTAGAATTTTAATAGTGTTTATAAGTACCTGCATGGAATAAAACGGTCTGATGGTGACGATGATTCTGGTGCAGCAAAAAGATTTCTTGCTGTGGGACTACAGTGCTTGAGCAAGCGCTTTTTGTATTCAGGACTAAACATTTTTGATGAAATTTCTTCCAGTTAATCGCTTTTATGTGGTTTCCGTAGGAGTTATTAAATTGAGATCATAAGTCGTGGGATGAAAATTGCTTGATGGCAAAATATCACTTCCAATTCGAATTCTTTTGTTATAAAATATATATTTATATGTATTATATTTCAATTCACTTTTCAGCTATTAATTATAGAATAACTTTATTTATACAGATGGCAACTTCCTATTCCTACAAAAATATATATACTTTAATTAACTCTTTATTAAGCAGCACAGTCTGTTCTTTTTTGACACACAAAATATATTTTAAAGTTCTGAGGTGCACGAGAGTTGAGCAACGAATGAATGAAATGTTTTAAACGAATTGATAACACTTTTCACTCTCTTTTATTTTACATTTTTCTAAGTTAACTTATGTGTCTCTCAAAATATTTTCACTCTCAATTTTCTGTCTCTCTCTTTCTCTTTAAATTGCAACGAAGAAAAGTGAATTTTCAATGTTTTTCGACTTTTTCTTTAAATTACTTTCACTGGATCAACTTATTCTTGTAGAATCACACTTTATTAATCGGTAAAAATAAGTTTAAGTAAGTTATCTTGGAGAATAGCTGAGAATTTTGAATGTTTAAGAAATTTTCACAAGGCTTTTTATTATTTTGAAATATCTCTATTTTTCCTCTAATGCACCTCTTTACTTTAAGTTTTTACACTTTTGCTCGCTGCTAGTCAGTTCCTGCAATACTTTTTAATCACTTTTATTATGCCTTGCCATCAAAAATTGTTAATTATCTTAAAAAATATATAATTCTCAAATTTAATGTTTTTTTTGACAGCGACATCTATAATTTGAATCTGAAAATAAAAAAAATAACCGTCATTTTTGGTCTTAAAGAAGTTGTCGATTTTCGAGCAGGTTGCACGTTGTAAAACAATGTTGAAAAAAATAAACCTTAATTCTTTAATTCCACTGGCTCAGAGGACATGCTTCCGTAATTATTCTCAAGAACCTGCTGCCGTAGAAACTGTGCATGATGATGGTGAGTCAATGTTATTGCTTTACTCCTTATTTTTAATGTTATTTACATAAAATTAATTTTCACAGATTTCCGAGTGCTTAATTTAAGGAAAACTAAAGGAACACAGCAGCAATTGTCAAGAAGACCAAAACCACCAGATGTTCCACCTCCACGATATAAGCAAATGGCAGTTGATCAAGATTGGGGTGCTGTATGGCCTGGTATATATTAAATTTCATTAATTACAGTACTATTTATTAATAAAATATACGTGCGTAACAGGTCCAAAGACATTTCATCCAGCGTCAGTTCCACTACCTGTTAGACAAGGGTGGGTTCCATTGAATAAGACAGTTCCTGGAAAATTTGCAAATGCTGAGCTTATGAAAATACCAAATTTTCTACATTTAACACCTCCAGTCATAGCTAAACAGTGTGAAGCTTTAAAGCAGTTCTGTACCCCATTTCCAAAAGGATTAGAGACAGAAGAACAGCAAGAAAAGCACTTTCCTGTGCAATTTATATCTTCAGATTATGTTCATGGATTACCGACAATTAGAAATCCACTATCAAGAATTGTTACTATTAAATTGAAATTAAGTCAATTAAAGCTTGACGAACATGCTAGAGACAAATTTTTACGTTTAATCGGCGAACGATACAATGAGGAGACAGATGAGATAACTATTGTTACTGATAGATGTCCATTAAAGCAGCAAAACTTTGATTATGCTATGTATTTATTAACTGGTAAGTTTATTTAATAACGGTTTTGTAAAATTCAAATTCAAAAACCATACAAATTATTTGATCTTAAAACCATACAAAAACATTTTTATGGTTCACAAACATTAGCTCAAAACACTACACATTATTTTAAATTAACATTTGTACGGTTCTCAATTATCTATTCTTGTAGCTCTTTATCATGAATCAAGGACAGTAGAAGAATGGGAAAGTAGCAAACAAGAAGGCGATATGGAATATTACAATTGGCATAATAATCAATCAAAAGTTACATCAACTGAGGTCCTGAATTGGGGCTTGCCTGGTGACAGTAAAGTTGAGCCACCACAAGAATATATTTCTTGTGTCGAGAACTTGATGAATGAAGGCGAAAATGAGTATAATATAAATAAATATAAGGAATCAGTAGTCAAAATGCTCGGACTTGCTTGACACCATGTTGATCCTAAAGAAATCAAGCCAGCAGATACCAAAAAGCAAGAAAATAAGAAAGATGAAGTAACAAGAAAATTTTGGTATCATCCTTGAAACATTTCGCATCAATAAAATGTATAAATTTTTATAGATTATAACAGCTTTTAGTAAGAAAAGTAATAAAATATCAATAGATCATGAGATGATGCTTTTCATTTTCCATCGCATAAGAAAGAAAATTGAGAGAAAATTCTCTCATGTCTGATTTTAGTGATTTCTTTCCCATCCACTGGCGCCAATTTGTCGATCGGAACAGCAAGCAAGAAAAAAAGAAGGATACAATTCGCACAAATATTTTCTTCCGTTGTCTATCAACTTTCACTATCGAGCAAGCATAAATACTTTAGTCGTAGAACTGAGCGGAACGAATATATTAATAATTGTAAAAAAACAGTCACTCCGATACATTTTCGCACGCATTATTCTCATTCTCTCATTCGGTGCTTCAAGTTTGAAAGTGAATTTCACCATTTCCATTTTGTTATTTAATATTAAGGAAAAACAACAGGTATTATGCTTTGAAAATTAATTCAATTAGTCGACAATATTGTCGAGTGCTTGTTAATCATGAAAAATATTTTAGAATATTAAGTTAAGTGCTGAAAAAATCAATTTTAATAAGAATTCTTTAGTGTTTATCTAAAAAATGAACATTTTTTCGTTTGTATGTTCCGTAGTCTTGACGATTCTCTTCGAACAATTTATGACTATACGGATCGCACGAATATATACATACATAGTATAGTTATAGTTAATACCAAGTCAGCATTAATGTTTTTTTGTCACTGTGTTATTTTGAGAAATTCTCTCGTGAGAGAAACCGCTAAGGAATGCAATTCTGTGTCCTAAATGATAGGCAACATTGGATCAAAATTAGTGCTTCTGAACATTATAATAATAAAACGTATTTTTTAATTTCAAAAAGTGGCAAAATTTTATTGAAACCGTACAATTTTTTGAGAAGAATTTGTAAGGTTTTGAAGCATTCAAAATGCCTTAATATCCAAATCCAGTAGACATAAGTCCGCAAAAATTTCATGATTATTATCAAAAGTCCGAATTTCGTAACAAAATTTAATTAAAGCAGTGGAAACAATACATCATTGTCTAATTTAATTAACTTTTCTAATTCATCAGATAGTTGAGCTTGTCAACGAGCGAACATGGGTGAAGGAACACAATGTGGACTTCCAAATGAATTTTGTTTCATGGATTTAAAGAAAGGTGCAAAAGTTATTGGATTCTTATGCTTACTCCTATCTATTGTATCCAGCGTCCTGCTCCTTTTCTACTTGTTCGCTGATGCTGATGAAATTACAAAGGAAATAGCCGGCAATGATATGCATACAAAGGAGAAATTGGATCCACACACATCCTGTAAGTTAATATTAGATTTTAGATCTATCAACAATTCATTACATTTATAATTTATATCCAACAGCCACGCGAACAGTCGCAGGTTTATTATTAGCATTAAGCATTTTTTATGGAATCGCATCGATTTTCTTGATTAAAGGATCACTGGATAAAACAAAGAAATATATGGTGCCGTTCCTGGCTATTACACTTGTTGCTTTAATCTCGTGTATAATTATATCAGTCACACAGTATGAGAAAGGAAACTTCTACCTCATGCTGACTATATGTGTCGTCCTGATTTACTTCTTCTTATGTATTTATTCACTTTACAAACGTTTATCTGTTGACTATTAATTAGAATCTCACATATTATAATTAAATCGGAAATTATGTCATTAAGCTAAGCTAAGCTTTAAAGACATTAAATACTTATTAGACGATGTTGCTTCTTTTTATTTGGACGAAAATTATGAGGAATCTGAAAAAAGTTATCGACTAAATTATAGAAGTGATAATTTCATTGTAAAAAATGTCAAGGAAGGTGTGAATTGGACAGAACTACGCATTATTTTGTTGAATTAATTAATTAAATTAACATAAAAAGTCTTCATGTTTCACCGCTTATACACAGCTAGTAATGTGTGATGTCAGTAGTGATGAACCAAATTATGATGTCATTCGCATGATGCATTTATGTATTTAACAGAAAATTTATATATTATATACAAAGAGTAATTACTTAAGTTTGTTTTCCACATGTGCAGCTCTTCGAGTAAGACAAAATGATTTTTAAAGATGTAACATATTTGATGCAAATTATTTTAATTTAATTTTATAAACGGAAAAATCCTGAGAGCTAATTCCACTAAAATTGATTTATTATGGATGGATTGAGATAAAGTCACTCTAAAAAATATCGATGGCATCATAAATGACGTTTTGAGCTTAGGTCTTGACCTGATGTTCTTTTTATTTGTGCATTAAGTAATTAAAAGCACTGCGTAATAAATAAACAGCTCCTTTTTGGAATTTTTTGCTGCATTTTGTTTAAAATCATCAAACTAGATCTGATTATCTTTCGGAGTGTCTATGACTTCTCAAGGAAAATCCATAAAAAAAATTGATAAAGCCCTCGAATCATACATCAGTCATTGATGACTGCACCCATATTACAGTCATGGAAATAATTCTCAGTGAATTTAGCACATGATCCATCCAAAAACATTTTTTAGATCTGTTCATATTTATTATTAGTTACAGTAGTTTTTTTGTACAAGGCATTGTAAATGTGTATTTCTAATGTAATAAAAGGTCATAAGTTTATTATCAATGTTGATTTAATCAATAGTTTATTTTTTTTTTGGGGGGGGGGGGGGGTCAATATGTTGAAAATAATGTGGGTGATTTTATAGCATACTTTGGCAATTTCTTTCCTGATCTATTTTAGGGATCAAATGTAAACCAATCCCTAAATGACGTCACCTCCAACTTCGCGATTCTAAAATCAAAATTAGATTAAATTCCACAATAATTCCAATTTTCCCGACCCTTAAAACTCTTTAAACTTAATTAAATTAAGTATCTATTTCAGCAATGAACATTAATTTATTGAAAAAATGCGGACGGACTCATGTTAGCATCAGTCAAGTTCAAGCACATAAAAGTTTGTGTCAATGAATTTATAATTAATAAATCGTATCATCAGTAATTTGATCTTGGACTTTTATAGACAAAAAAGAAGCATCTTCAATTGAGATTCAAGGAATTTATGATGAGATTCGCATGACCTGCTTATCTACTTACTAGCCTACGTATGATCATCTTCAATTGACTCAATTATGAAAAGCTTTTCAGTAGAAAGCTTTTTAAGATCAAATAACAAGAAATAATGGCAAATTGTAAAAGTTTGCAATCAAGTTGATATCCAGAAAGCACACAACCATCAAAGTAACAGTAAGCCACGGCAAAAAAATGCTAATTAATCGAATTAAAACAGCATTTGACATGGAAATATCCATAAAAGTTATTCTATACGCTATTTAGCATTCAAAATTAATGCTTGACTGTATTGCTGCCTGATAGGCTTGTACATTGTTTTGCATTCGATCATCATCAAAAAAGTTTACAACCTTCCACATGTATGACTACAAAGTGCTATTTTTATTCTTCATATTTTTATGTGATCATTTTTTTTTTCCTTCCACAACTCTCTGTTGTAGTTTTGTTGTTGACCAAAGCAGCACAGACTCTCCTCTCAATTCTCATTCAAGTCGGAGATCTCGAACGATCAAGTTGTGTAAAATAAAAGTAATAAGCTTGGAAATAAATAAAAAGGTTTGTGTCAATTCCTATCTGCTATTTTTAAGATTTTAATCACTCGGAAAAATTGAGTGAAAATTTGAGGAAAAACGTCAGTGGAAAGTGTGTGAAAATTTACGAGAAAATCAACATGTGGTCATTGTTTAAATAGCTATAAGTTTTTTCTCAGTGTATTCTATTACTATAAACTCAAAAAGCTTATTTCATCCAATGTGTATAATTTAATACGATTCTAAAAAAAGAAATGATGTAAAAAGATTCAAAATGAACAGTCAACAACAACGCCCAAGCCTCGACTTAGATTCCAAAATAAAAGTAAAAATGTTATGTGTGCTAGCTTGATGCATACATAAATGTGCATTACCTCGAATGATTTGATCTTACCGTTTATGTGAATTACCTTAAATGTGATTTAAAAAGTTAAACTTAAAGGCAATTAGATCAAGATAAATCGCATATTTCTTTTCTCAGTGGAATGTCACATTGAAATTTGAAAAAGGCATTTAAATTTGAAGATTATTCATGCATTAAACGAACTATGACTGCATCCAGAGTTGAAATTTTTAACTGTTTTTTGTAATTTGTAAAATAACTGACAAAATATTTTTGAAATCTTCATTCGTTAAAAAATCCAAATTTTTGTAAGTCGGGAAATTTCAAATATCAAAAGTACGTTAAATTTTCAACTTTGCAGTATGAAAATTGTTTCAAAATCTACAGCACCGTAAAAAACATTGCTCAAACCAGATCAAAAGATTTATATTTTTTCTTTCAAAAGTAACAACTGAAAGCAATAAAGTCAAGAAGAAGCAATAATTTTCCAACATGTTGAATGTGTTCATTTGATAAATTTGAGTGAGAACGCACACTTGAGTCAATTTTGTGTGTGCGACAGGTCTTGTTTGTTTCAAAACATTTTATAAAATAAATAGAAATTACATGAAGAGCTAAAAATAATTAAAAGCCGCTTATATATATTTTCTTTTTTGTGTAGAAAAGAAGACAGCATGGCATTCACACTCGACAAATTCTTATTTTGCCTTGAACTTCAATTGGCGGGAATCATCTGTGCATGGTGGGGTATGATAATTTCAGCCCTATCAGTCATCAGTATCATCGCTGGATTATTATTTGACAGAGGAAATTTTGCCACATTCCTGCCATTCCATGTCAATGTTGGCGGTGCTTTCGTTAGTGCTGTTATTATGCTGATTATCTGCCTTATTTATTTCTATTATTCATATCAACTTCTCTTGGGATCAAATAATGTATGTCATCATTCCTATTCATATATTTAGCATGACTTGACATTATCTCTCTATTTATTACAGGGAAATGCATCACAAATGTTCGGCTATTTGATAATCCATGCGATTGTCATTATTTTCTTCATTTTGATGATGTTCAAAAATGCCTTCTCAATATTGGGCGTGATTGTCTATTGCTACTTATGGTTCTGTGTATATTCACTTTATGTCAGAACCGGAGGAACTGGAATCGTTTAAATATCATTTACGTCATCAAACATCCATAAATAAATTCTCTTAAGGCATGCTGTGGATTATCACGTTTTGTTTTGACCAAAATATTCGCGACTTGAATGAATTTCATTTTCAAAGTGTTCCAAAAAAGAAGTTCAAAGCTTTATAGTCGGCATAAACGTGATCATTTGAACAATTTATGTCTTGTTCTTTGAATACAAATTTTAATAATTGGACGTCCTTATATCTCTTGCAATTCATAAATACTTCAGTAACAAAAAGGCCAACAACACAGTGACATTCATTATAATATTTAATTAACAGCAATGAGAAAATTTTTGTTTTAATTGTTGCTTAATACATATGTTTTTTTTTTAATTTTTATTTGTTAAATAATAAATTTAAACAATGGATGAAAGCGCTCATGTTAAGTTAAGTTTCATGAAAACTTCCATCCCTTGATTTAAATAAGTTTTTTTTTTGAATAAACATTTTTGCTGAGTGCTCATGATGTTTTGTCATGACTAAAATATGTCTTTATATTTTCGAACATTCTCAATGGAACGTGAATAGACTCGCAAAAAAATAAGAAGAGCAACTTTAATAAAAACATCCGGAGGTATTTTCACACTATTAATTGACTACAATTTTATTTCTTTTGCTATTTTTGAATTGTTGAACAACTCATTTTCAATGAAAAAGTTCGTTAAATTTCAAATATATTTTTAAAAATCATTTGTATGGTTTTCCGACACAACAAACCAATCAATTTAAAAAAAACAGTACACTTTCTAAAATGAAAACCTTTCAACAGTTTCGTGTGAAACATTTATGTGGTTTTGAAAGGAAAATACATTTGAATTTAAAATATCCGTTTAAAAGAGATTTTATTGATAATTTGAACGACTTTCAAACACTTAATTTTTATAGATTTTAAAAACCTTTTAACAGCTTTATAAGAACAATTTTCAGTGAGTTCAGTTTTGCATACATTCGCTGGAGTGTCCAAACATGTGATACCATGCCTTACTTTATGACCTTAACAAGTCAATTGTTTTGTTTGACTAGTTTGTGGCACTGCTTTTCGTAATTAAATTTACGATTTAGACTCGATAAAACATTCGAATTATGTGCCATTATTTAAATACCAACAACATGCACGAATCCCAAACCCGTACAATATATCAATAACAAAAGTAATTAGGGAATTAAATAAATTTGCTTCTGATTTTATCACCAAATCATCTCAATGATAACGATGAAAGTTAGTCGACCTGATAACAGGAGATAAGATAATGCACACGATGTTTACTTACCGAAATTCTTTCAATGAATTTTTCAGTTCCTTTTTTATAGCACAGATCTCAGCAGCAAAAATGTTCACACTTAAGAAGTTTTTATGGTTCATGGAACTAGAATCGGGTGTTAATTTAATTGGATATTGTGGAATATTTATGAGCTTGCTCTTAGCCATTGCATTTTTGCTGACAAGTGCTTTTAACATTCATGAAGTTTTAAATTATTTGAGTACGAGATTTGCGGTTCATCACAATTCTGATTTGCCTGCTCTACGTAAGTTTGACTTTGTTGCAGACAACTTTTTGACTTTGTCAAGTGCGTTGATATCAAATATGCAGGATAGAAAAGAAGCATTTTGAGTTTAGTGTCCCTAATTTGTGATAGACGTGCTATGTTAATTTATAGCAATTGTTAGCATAATAATGAACTATTCCTGTTTTTGTAATATACTCTATGGACTTCGCAAGTTTTATATCTAAAAAAAAAACTTCCGACACAGATAAAAATGTCCATTTTTGTGACAATTGCTTGTCAAAGTAGCAAGTATCAAGTATGAAATATTTGAACTGTTCACATTTCTTTAACCACAAGTCAGACACGAGAATGACGTCAAACCGCATATTCTTTTTTATTTGCAATTTCGTTATTCATTAAAGAGCTTTAAGTCGATTAACATCAGTCATTTTAATAAAAGTACTATTGATTATTAAAGTCTGACTCTGACAATGACAATGGGGTCTTTCAATTATAAGTGTCTGCTTTAATAAAAGAAAGGGTCTAGTTAAGCATGCTGACATTAGAGCCCTAAACGAACTTAGGGTAGCAGAAAGCTCAAGGTTTGAAGATCTAATATATCTAAGGAGCAATCAAAACTTATCTTCAGCTCGAGTTGTCTGCAACAAATCAAAAATTAATTTACTTTTACGAATATTTTAAATCAAACAAATTTTCTTATCAATTTCTGTTTTAGAAATCTTTATCATTTTTGTCCTAGTCATTGCAGCTCTTTTAGTAAATGTTTATATTTCCATTAGCGTGATAAGAGGAGTTCAAAGCGTGAGTAGCCTTGCCAAAAATTCATTTCAAATCAAAATTAATCAAAACTTTATTTTTTTATTGCAGCAAAATCATAAACTTTTTAAGCCTTATTTAGGCGTGGAGCTTTTGTTCATTTTTCTCATTGCACTGGAAGCTTTGACAAGCTTAAAGCTCTTTTACTTGCTACTTACAGTTATTAATTGTTATTTGTGGACATGTGTTTACTCACTTTATGAATCATATAAAATTGACAGCAAGGTCAAAGTGAGAGTTTCAACAATCAATCAGATTGTAATCGATAACTAATTATGATTTTAATTTTATGAACTTAAGGATTGAAACTTGAATAAATGTGATTTTATTAGATTGAGTAAGAAGCTTATGGATGTGATACTTTCTCTATTAATGACTTTAATGCGTGTCAAGATCGTCTTCATTTATTCATGATGGGTCGTTCAAAAATGATGTACATCTTTTGGAGAGTTGAAGTCAAATCTTCGACTTGAATTTGAGTAATTGACGTCATTTTTAAACTCCCCCAAGCAAGTCAATTGAAATTGTTTTCACTTGTCAATGACATTCCTAGAAAAATAATTTAAAGATGTTGTCAGATATTCTAATATTAAGTAAATAGATGACACAAAAAGTTGTTGATGTGAATACGAATGAGTCTCGTGTGAATTTGGCGCATTTACTTTGAAGGAACTAGATAGATGAAGCAATTCATCATTTCTAGATCAGCAATTATGAGTGGCAAGCAATCTCTACTGAAGATGTGTATTATGACTTTATAAATTTGCAACACCCTTTTCGCGTTGGTCCTTCAAAGCTTTATAAAATTATACGATCCAAACTGGTTATTCTTACAAGCTAGCTGTGAGGCATTTCACGTAGTAAAGTGAAATCTACGAAGTTTAAACAAAAAAACTAAGAAAATAATAATTTGAATGCTCATGTTAAAGTCATTAAAGACATCACACTCCTATTCACATGCTCGATGCCTGTTTCGTGCGATATTACAAGAGAAAATGAAGAAAAGAGGAATGACTAATCTACTTAAATATCTGCAAAAATAAAAACAAATTGTAGTCGATACATTTGGTCACGTATCTTCGTATCATATCGCACATTTGGAGTAAAAATTTGTTCTTATCTCATCATTATTATTATTATTTTATTATCATTCCGGAAAAAAGTGTAGTCAAAATGCTATAAATTAATTTAAAAAACGCATAAATGAATGGATGTGCCATTTTTTCATGTTGCACTAATATTGCATAATTTGCATTGGCTCCAAATATAGTACAGACTCGTGAGGAAGAAGAAAAAGCTGCTATGCTAGAAAATTTCTTTTCATTTCTCACTAATTCGTTTTATTTATCAACGAATTTATCGCATAAAGTCAGGCTGCTCGTAGTAGACAGAATCACAATAATAATGATCGGGTACGGGAATTTGAGTTAATTTAACTGTTGGATTTAATCCACTATTATCAACCATAATTTTTTCTTTTTTAAAGAAGGAACAATGCCGTGCATTTGGTGATGAGTCACTTATATCAGAGTATGGGGGTGATAAAATATCAAAAAATGCTGCTGGACCCTCCAGGGCCGTTAATTCATGATAATTGCAATTATCTGGATATAAAACAGCTGCCTCGCTTGTCTCAGTTAGTATCTTTGGTTGTTCAACTTGCACAATTTTCTCTAAAAGTCCATTCTCTTTATCAGTCGTGATTTGTGTATAGCACTCAGCTTTTAACTTTCCAGAAATCACTTTTAATATTCCTGTCATATTTGGATGATCATGTAATGGCATTTTATAATTTTCATCGATTATAAATATCGACATGGAAAAAGGTGAATCTAGTTTCTCATAAATATTTACAAATGTGCATGGTGCTTTATTCTGAAATGACGATAAACGGAACGAAAACGTCTTATGAAATATTCATACTGCACTCTAAACAGCATAGCATCTCTCATTACCTTCACTTTAAATGCTTTCTGGCTGAATAAGAATGGATTTAATTTCAAATCACTATAGACTAATTTATCAACTAATTTCTTTAATACTGCAAAATTAGCCTTGTAGCAATCGCGATTACGATTTGAAAAGGTTTTTTCTGCTTGTTGAAATATCTTCATAAACACTGCCGACGACATATTCTTAATTATTTCACTTTTTCTTTAACTACGTGATTTTTTTGCAACTTTTTTACGAAGAAACAAACGAAAACAAGGGGAAAACAACGAGATGTGAAAATTAGCAGCTATTTACATGTAACTTATATCTTGTGGCTATTGCGCATTTACTTGATCTATTGTTATTTCACTTTTTCTATTCACTGGATCTCACATTCGACACTAGCTTTGAATAAATCTATTCATTTACACTGTTTGAAAAAATTCTAGGAGCTGGAAGAAGATTCCTGATCATTCTTGAAGCATCCAGAATAAACCACTGGACAGACTACTCACAACGCATTACAAAGTGCTAAATACCGTTTTTTTAAAAAAAAATCAAAATCTATCAACTTGGTTTTAACGACCCAATTTAAATTTTTGCACAACGGTTATCACGTAAATTTAAAAAAGATTATATAGTTAAAATAACTATTTTAATTCTTAGGAGATCAGGAATAATTACATTAATTAACGAGATCAGTAGTTCACAGTCACTTCGGCTTCATTGCTGACATTTGACTCGTCATCTTCTGAATCACTTTCCTCGTTATCTGAATTACTTCCATCTGATTCCTCTCCTTCATTGTTTTCTGAATTAAGTTTACCTAAAGGTGGGATATCTGATGCTATACGTTCAAGCTCTTGGAAGAATTTTGTATGCTCTTGCTCTAATTCACTAAAAGATTATAGCGATAAATGAAAGATCCAGTAAATCATAAAAGAGCTTTATGCTCACACAATCAAGATCTATCAATTTTATTGAATAATACTCATATTAAGCTACTCAGCAGCAATTCACTTGTTTCATGACAACATTTAAAATTGCCTTATTTCAATGAATTATGTTAAATGAATTTAAATTTTTTAATTACCTTATTTCATTCTCTTCATTTGTGTTATTTGATGACGTCGATCCATTCATAATAGATCCAATGATCGTTGGATCCAAGTTTGATGGAAATAAAGGCAGCATTTGCTATTTAAATTAATCAATTTAATTCTTTCTTTAAAAACCGACTTTTTGTTTTGATCGATTTGATAGAACTTAAATTCAAATATTTTTTGTCGGTTACGTTTTCTAATTTGAAATAATAGTTAAAAAGTGAAAAGAACCTATAGAATCAGCCATTTAAGGGGCTATCGACGTTCAGCATAAATACATAGATGAATAATAACATTTAAAATTAATTTAATATTTTTTATAAATTTTTTGACTATTTTACATTCCTGAAACCTTAATTAAGATTTATACACGTGGCCTTATTAGTATCTAGTATCAGAGTTAATTGAAAGAATTTATCCGAAACATTGAAAACAACGAATATTTGAATTAATTTAATTGAAAGACCCCACCCCTATTATTCAAAGCATAATTCAAAATACTTAAAAATGAATTACGGAAGAAAAACCCCATCAACCTATCGATCAAATCCATCAGTTCATTCACATGCAACTACTGGAAGGTAAATGATTTGATCCCATTGACATTAATCCCAAATTATTTAATGTTTTGTTTTAACTCAAAGATCTGTCATTTCGAGATCAACAAGATCCCTTAAAATTCCATGGTACCAACGTGCATACGTTAAGAACAACCAATATTTCAACATTCAGAAAGGTTCAATCATTATGGGGATTGTAGCTGCAGTGAGTTATCATTGGATTGCTTTTTATATACAAAATATGTTAATTATGTTGATTTTAGTTCGTCTCGTTGTTTACAATTGGAACTGGAATATTTGACTTGTACTGCTACTCAATGGCTGCTCCTGGATCAACTCATTATGGATACTACATTATATCCTATGAGTTTGTTTATGTTGGAAACATGCATGTTAGAAATGTTCTAGTGATTTTCGCACTCTTCTCAGCTCTCATTGCTTGTGTCACATTCGTAACGAGTTGTATGCTTGTTGCTGCTTTGAGAAAGGTAATTAAGAAATTTTAGTCATATCTAGTTCAGTGCTATATTTGATGATAATTGACAATACTTTTTATTCACAATCAAAAATCATTTTTGGACAATACAAAAAATTTCAAAATTCTTAAAGACACCAAAACTCGACCGTAGAAATGTGTCGAAACGAAAGGTAGAAAAAGCTTGAGTAATTTTGTTTTTAATGATGTTTCTTCATCTTCATTCTCCTTCATCATTTTAATATGATTTAATTAATTCTTTCGTCATTTATATTTTGGCTAAATTTAATTCCTTTTGAGAGTTTTCATTTGCTCAAACTTTGTTTCTGTATTGATTTTATGTTTTCCGAATGTCTGTTGACTTAATTTAATACGACTTTTTAATTGGTTTTTGTAGGAACATGAACAGAGAATTATGCCTTGGTTATGGAGTTTCGGAGTATTTATTGCATTTCGATTTGTGGCATTTTTATTCTTCGCCATCGTTAATGACTTGTACTTCTTCTATAATATCTTCATGACCATTTTATGGATTATGTTGATATCAATTTCATTGTATGGATGGTTGACAGTCTATTCAGTTTTCATTGAACTTGCTGATTTGACAAAACTTGAGGATCTTGCACATTTGAGAGTAAGCAATTTTATTTTATGGCTTTATTATTGTCTCCTCAAACTATTTTTACCCTCATTTTATTATAGATTGGTACAATGCAATCATTAAATGCATCAGCAGTCCAATCATTAGCTGGATCGAGACCGACAACACCGCATTCGTCAAACATGTCGACAATGCCGGCTACATCTATACATTAATACGATTGTAAGGGGGAGTTATTCATTGGTGAAGTCAAGTCGTTTTTAAATGAAGTTCATTAACAAATTTGATTTTTTTAAACAAAATTTTTAACACAAAAGAAAAGATATGAAAATTTTGATGAGTTAAGCAGTTATGGATCACAGGGTGGTGGACCTTATTTTCCTTTCAATAATAGGATTATCATTTATGAACGACCCATATCCATCTAAAATGAAATAATGATGTTCAAACCAGAATGAACCACCTCTCCCAAATAGAATTAAGGCACAAAAGTTTAATGCCGCACATTAGTTTCTCGTCTGTTATAATTTTCAACAATTATCATTTAAAATTTATTATGCGAGTCTCGGTATTAAATAAGAAAGTTTTTTTAAAAAAGAATTCCATTCCGTCCTAGAATATTTTTGATACAAAAATAATAGTTTTTAGGCAATGCCGTCCATTCATAATACTAGAAAAGTATTTAATTAATAAGAATCTCAAATATTTGATAAAAAGAATGTTCAAGCAACATTTATCATTAACAGAATAAAGCAAAAACTTTATAGCCTTACAAATAAAGATATAAAAAAATTGTTCTTTTCCTCCTTCTCATTTAATTTTTTTTGGGGTGACTGGAAGCGCTTCTCATTATTCTTATAAACAAATTCCAGTGGTTGGAATGTTGGAAAGACTGGAAGTGTTTATATTTGAGTAAAAATCGATATTTACTACCATTCTATTTTTTTCTCGGCTTATAGGATCTCGGAATCTCTGGCAAGCGGAGATAATTCAATTTATGATTTACAGGCTGTGAAGAACAAAACATCTTTGAATTGAAATTAGCAAATTGGACATGAAACTTTCGAGATTTTTCCTTAATTTATGTTTATTAATCTTTGATTCAGCCACAATCAGTTCTTATCGGAACTAGGTGCTGAAAAATTTATTAATATACGTGCATTTTTCCTATTGTATACAAATTTCCTCTCTCAAAATTTTTCTCAATTTTCCACAAAAAAATTCAGATTTTCTCTCTCAAAATGAGCAGGAAAAGTCTCAAATACAAGACCATGAGATCCGATGGAAATTTTCTTCACGAGTTCTACAACTATGCGAATATTCTCAGTTTGTCGTTATCACTTTACAAGCGATGTTGCGTCCATCCGCGATGTCGGAAAGAAGTTTCCTTTTTATCTCTATTGAGGTGGAATAAATCACAAGAAAATGAAGAAAATGTAGTGAAAATGTTTAATTTAATAGGAAAATCATAAAGTTAATCCATTTAATTAAGTGAAAGAAAAAGTAAGGAAGGCAATAAATTTTAAAAAGGAATCTAGAGAAAAAAATCTTCTCCAAAAAAAAGGAAGAGAAAAAAAAGAGTGATTGGAAGGGAACGCAGCATCAAGCTATCACACATAAATAAGGATAATATTCTGTCCATAAAGTGAAAAATGAGTTAATTTATTTAATTTTTGCCCAACATTATCGTTATTAAGTGAAAAAATAAAAGCTTCATTTTCATGTTTGCACTCATTCGTCATGAACGCAAAAAGCGTACAATCAATGTAATTAAACAAAATTGAGTGTACATCATATAAAAAAAAAGTTTTTCTTTTGGCATGAACGTGCTGCTGCTCAGCGTATATAAACAACAAAAAAAATCTAGAACTAAGAACTTTCTTGTGTTATGCTTGATATATAAATCAGGGCCAAACAACTCACTAGCGACGTACGCTAATAATATTTCGGATTTATTGCAATAAAAGGAATAAGGATTAGTTGCATGAAGACTGTTTTGTAGGTAAAGGTCATTGAGAATTTTTGAATAATTTACGGCGCATTTTTGAAGACATCAATCTGCTATTAGGCGTTAACGGTTAACCTCTAAATTTTTCAAAATATATTAAATAAATCATCGTTCAAAAATATTGGATCTTTAACATTTTATGGTTTATATCCTGAATTTAAGTACAGGAGCGTAGCTACATTTAAATATCATTTTGATTTTTCATCAATTTCCTTAATTTCTAAGAAAATTTTTACTCAAAAATTTTATAATTTGATGGTTGAAATCTCATCAAGAAGACAAAGCTGTTTGACACAGAAATGTCACCCATAACCACGGAATTCCTTCCTTAAACTTTATTAATGCTCTCATTCCTCATACCACACCACAAAAATGCACCTGCTCTCATTAATGGAAAGGATTTTACAGATACTGTCAATTTAACTGTCAATGGTTTGAAGCTGTGAGAAAATTGAGGTTTAATTAGAAATGAATTGTCGTAAAAGTTTTAAAATTTTGTGACATAAAAGTTTGAAGCTTAAACTGAGGAAATCCAACTTGCACGGTTAATCGAACAAAAATTCAGCCTTAAGATTGCGTAACTAGTTTCTATTTAAGTCTAGCACCATGCCAGAGTTAAGTCAGCTTGTGGCCAGATTTCTATTTGATTAATTGCCTTGTGCTATTCGGGAAAGCTGCAGGTGACTTGTATGTAATGTATATCTAATTAAATCGACGACAACAATCAATGTAATGACCAGTAATGAAGAAGATATCACGTTCTAATAGTCTGAACCTTCGTTCTTATGAAAAATAAACCAATGTCCAAAGAAATATTTGGCTTCAGATTATCGATCTGTTAACAAAGCATTCACCCACTGGATTGTCTACAAATGTCACAATACTCCAAAATATAGGTTACATATCAGCCTTATCATGACTGATTTTTTTTAAAAATGAAAGATGTGAAAAATATTAAGAAAAATTAAAAACTTTTTATTCTATGTGATTTGATTTTTTATACTTTTGTTGCTTTAAAAGCATGCAAAATATGTCTTGAGCGAAAATCTCAAAAAATTTGCAAACATTGCTGATGGCTTTCTTGTTAAGGTTTAGAATAATTGAAATTCAAGGCAAAATTTTTTCGTAAAGGAAGAAAATTATTTTCCTCATAAAAATAGCTATAAATTTACATTAAATTTCAAAAAAAAAAATTCATAAATTTCTCATATTTTAATTTTGTTTTTTCTTCTTTTTCTTGTTTTGCTAAACAACATTTTCATCTTCTTAGAAAATTTTCAATAAGAATTTTAGGCATAGCATAATTCAGAGATTAAGCTCCAAAATTTTCCCTAATCAACTTTATCCTTTAAAATTCAGATCCTTGAATTAAAGAAAACCTATCCTTGACATTTTAAATTCAGTCTTATTTGACACTCAGCTTTTGCATTAAACAAAGTGGCACAAGAAGTAATCAAATTGCTTGGATATTTCTTTGTCTGCAGAATCACAAAGAACCATCAACCAAATATCAGACAATGTTCCTTTTTTTCGGATACAAAGAAAGTTTGACCTTTAAACTTGCCATTTATCAAGGGTTCAACATCACAAAAAAATTTATTCAAAATTTCTCTTAAAGAAATGGGTTCGTTTATAAATGATGTCTAATGTATTGAAGTAGAGTGGATTTTAAAGCATTCCTAGCCTTATATAGGTAAATCTGTAAGTCTGAAATCGAGGCATATGTGATCGAATGGTGAAATGGAATCTTAAACTTACTATTTTGTAAAGTTATGGGTTCGATTCTTACCATAAACTTTGAATATTCTTAAAAATTAAAGAAAATTTTCTGTCAATATGATTTTGAGACCATAACTTTATAGCTACGCGATATCTGCCTTAAAACTTGAAAGACGGGCTTAAGCGGCTCAACGAAGTTGAAACTTAAACAGACCCTCGAATTATTGTCAAAATCTTAGTAAATCGAAACTATTGCGTTGAAATTTTAACTTCCAACTACGCCAAAGCGTCATCTGTGTCTAAAATTGATAAAAGTATACAAAATTCAAGCAGACGTCATTTAAAATCGACCCAAAACTAATTTTTCATCCCAATTTTCGCTTTGATTTTCCATTAATGTTTCTCCTATATAAATCACTCATCTACAACCACACTAAATTAATTGATTATATTTTCCATCAAACAGCTTCTCCCTGTTAATGAAGTTTTTCCAACATAAACGGGAAAGCTATCAGAAAATCATGAAAAAGCTGCTTATAACATGACAGAAAAATATTGAAAATAAAAATCATATTTTTTTTAAAAAAAGAAAATTTCGAAAAGTTTTATGCTGTAGCCTTGACATCATTTTTACCAGTCACAGACAGCCAAAAATGGAAGCAAAAAAAAGTGGTAGGCTTATTGCAAAAATGCGCTAGTAAGTTCTTCAAAAAAGATATTAATGACTATATTCATACCTACACACATATTGATTTGGATTGTTTTTATTTTTGGCTAGGGCATAAAAATATGAAATATGAGCATGAGAAGATAATTTTTATGATGTGAAAATTTAAGTGAAAAGGAAATACCTTTGAGAGAAAAAAAGAGAAATTTTCATGCTCGAGAATATACTCGGGAATATTTAATACGACAGCGCTTGAGTGTATGTGGAAAATATTTTGATATATCTTTATACAAACAAAAAGCAAAAAAAAAAAGAAATAATAATAATAATAATCATCATCATAAAGTGTACAACAGCAAGCAACAGTAACAGCAGCCATACATAAATTCACGATGAAAAAAAAAATATTGTATAAATATACATGAATAAAAGAAGTGAAAAAGCATGCAAAGAGAGTGTGAAGAAGGATAAAAATGCAAATTAATGATCGTGAAAATGGAAATGCCCCATAAGTAGTTACACACGCATATAAAACTTTGAACAAGACCCAAAAACAAAATACTAATTAAATTCCTATCATCATACGATATACTCGAGTCAAATGTGCTAATGTGAACTCCCTAGACTCGCAAAAAGCTCGTTCTTTATTTATTGAGTGCATATTGTGTATGAAAACAATAAGAATTATATATAGGTACTCATATGTAGTTTGTGCTTTTCATCCATAAATTGTGTTTGTTCAAAAGAAGAAGAAACAAATTTTTTTTTTGTGCTAAATGGATTAAAATTAATTTGATTTGCAAACATACAAACATAAAAAGGAGCAAGAGCGGAGGTGAATAGACAACAGCAGACGAATATATTTAGTATGGAAATGAATGGAAAAACAAATGAGGAATGGGAAAAAATCAATTAAGTTTTAAGAAGTTACAAAAAAAAAACGTGGATGAGCGAGTCTTAAAATGATGATGAAAAGCTTTTTCGGGTGTGTGCTGCAGTAAAACAGTCAGTCGACGAGAAATGGAAGGAGCTTTAAGTGGATTAAATATTCAAATCATAAATTACAAGCAAATAAAGCTTAATCCAGTCCCATCGTTGCTGTTTTTTTGTGATAAGTAGCTAATTAAAGGCGATCACAAAAAGGAGGAGCTCATCTCATCTCATTAAAGCATTGCTTTTTATTCATACTCGTCCTGCTCTTAATGCCTTCTAGTTTGAAAATGTTTGAAAAGCGATAAGAACCGTAAAAAGTGCTGATAACTTCTTGTTCTCGCAAAAAAGAATTTAATTAGTGAATGTAGACGATAAATTTAAAATTATAGTCTAAATAACGTGAGAAACGCCGTGAGGTTGAAGGGTGAAATTATTTTGGATACAAAAATTGTGAACTAGAGTTTTAATAAAAAAAAAGAGGATCAAATTAAACAAAAATTAAAGTTCATTCAATTAGAAAAAAAACGACGAAAATAAAATAATTAAAAAAGGCAGAAAAAAAAGAGAGGAAAGGATAAGACAGGCGTAAAGCTTTTTGAGAATGGGCTGTGGGCAATCGAAAAAAATTCATTTATATCCGAGAAAAAACAAAAGCAAATCAAATGGAAAGAAAGGCCATGGTAAGCGAATAAATGAAGATTTTTTTATGTTATCTTAATCCAATTTCAAAAAAATATTCGGATAATGCTAACAACAATCAATATTATCCTCCGTTCACGAGAAGAAGAATCGTCATCATCATTGCTACGACACAGCCATTATTATTGTTCGCTGTACAAAAATATAACAATGGCAACAACAGTATATTCAAGATGCTGTCTTTTTCGTTTCTTATCTCATTTTTGGTTGAATTTATCGTTGCCGTGATAATTCCTATATTTCGTTCCTTTACATGTCTCTTGTGTCTTATATTGTGATGGTCTGTAATTTTATACCCCCCGTAGATTTCTGAGAACACAGAATACTTATTATCCTCCATTTTTTAAACTTTGGAATACCTTTAAGAAAAATCATGATGAAGCAGTGATAGACGCATCTTTTCAGACCCGATTATATATCACTCGGTCCACAATGTGATATTTTATTTAAAATATGTCTATAAGAACCTTTTTTTCTCCTTAAACTCGACATTTGACATCATTTAGAGTTCCATCATACTTTCTAAGTACATACTTCTTCACCGTCATCAACTTCCTAAATGATTCTGGGTAAACAAATGGATGAAAGGCCAGGGAATTACATACGTTTATCCTTGATCTGTCTGTCACTGTCTCCTCTCCTTTTTTCGGTTTTCGTTTCTTCTGTCTTAGTCTCCATTCTATCAAGAGATTCTCAAGTACCCGTCCACTCATCTGTTTATTTTCTACAATTTTTTCATTCTACTCATTTTCTTCAATTTCCACATCACCGTACTTACTCGTGATGATCATCAGCATTACATTATTGCCTGTATTTTTGCTCTTTAATATTTTTGCTTCTAAAGTTTTCTTATATTTTATGTATTGTGAATGTTGAACGTAGGTTGAACAGCATAAAGGCAGGTTACAAATGAAGGAATGGAAAGATAAACTTTCATTTTCATTTTGATTCTTCTTACACAATTTTTCATACGGATCCTATGTACACATTTCCATTTCTATGTTGAAGCAAAAGTTTCAAACTGTCATTTCATTTCATTTCGAATGAGATTTATGTTTTCGAGCTCAGCACGATTCAAGTTCATAATTTCTATTTGCCATATTTTCAAGTTTTTCCTCCATAGCTTCTTTGTTTTTGTTGTTTACTCTACTTTTTTCCATCTATTAAATTTCCAATGCATTCGGGCACAATCTCGATGTGAGAAGAATCTTTTGACGGATAGACGCAAAATAAACACGAGTTTAATTAAATATTTGGATAACTAGTTAAAAGCTTTGCTAATTTCTCCTATCTTTGCTATTTTAGATTATTTTTATAAGTTGTCTTTTCTCATGTTGTTGATTACTGTTCCTTAGAGCACTCTTTTGCGAGAATTTGTTTGGCTTAATGAAAAAGTTTGGTGCTACAAGTGGCAATATGTTGAATGAAGTTTAAGAACTAATTGTTAAAAGATTTTGTCCGTGTTTCCTCTTTGAAGTTTCGACAAGAGGCTTAAATTTAAGCATTCAAGGTGAAATCAACTTAATTTTTTAAGGATTTTCGAAATCGAAACGTTAAAATTTCTTTACAGAACCTTAACTATAAACAAACAATATGTCTAATGTTTGAATATTCTTTAATACTACAAGCACTACTGCGCCATAATCAAAATCCACAAGGGATTCTCGAACATCGAAGCACAAAGCTTTCTAAGAGCTTGTTATCTGCTTTTTGTCAATTAAAGTATTTATTGACCATGGAAATAATACTCTTGAATTTCATGCACTTGCGTTAAGATGTTTTATTTCGTTGTTTACTTATTTACTCTTATTTCTGTCTTCAATTTCCTTTTTTTTACGTTAATATTAACATCACATTGCCTATAGCAATTGGAAACCAGCAAAAAAAGTAATTCTACAAATGACTTGGTTGGTATATATTGAAGGAAGGTATTGTGCGGAAGGAAGGAAAAATAAAATCTACGAGGAAATGAATGTATAAATGTGTATGTGTATGAGTATGTAGTGTAAGGTATTAGCATGCATGTATGTCACTATTAAATGCTGATTATTTTAAAGAGGAGACTTGAGCTCAATTAGCATGAATATGCATAAAGACATAAAATCTTCTATCTATTCTATTTCTCTTTCTGTCTGTGCCTGCCTACCTTAATGCCGTCTTTCGTCATTTCCTTTCCCGAGGTAAATTTTTTTTTTATGTAATTACACCAACAGCCAGTAGTTGTATGTAATAGAATACCGAATATATGACATAGAAAATTGCCTTCCTTCTTGCTTATTCTTTTTCATTCCCTGCCAGCTTGCCTGAGTCGTTGTCGTGTACTTACGAGACGCTTTTTTCAAATTTGAATAAATTGAGAAAGAAGAAGATTCCATTCATGTACATCTGTATGTGTGTTTATTAATACGCGCGCTGCTTTTGTATGTTGTGGAAAAAAAGGAAATTCCGTTTATAAGGTTTAATTTTTAAGTGCCCTAAAGCTATTCACTGGATGATGAAGAGAAAGAAGATGAGAGAGGAAAAGGTAGATTGAAAAGGAATTGAGAGAATGAGACTTTGCAGCTTTAAATAGCATAAATTCGTATACACATACATAATTCACGGCTACATCATTTAGAGTCGGAAAAGTCGCATAAATATTTAAGAGATTTTTCGGTTCTTCTTTCTCTCGCATTATTTTTTTCCTTGTTTCTTTTTACAAATATAAATTTTTTATGGCTTTCACATACACGATATAAACTTAACTTAATTCATCTTTCAATGTCAAATGGTTTTGTCACACACAGTGACTGGAAAGAGAAACTTTTTTGTGTCCCTCGGTATGTACACAACTTACTCTTATGAGTACTCTTTACAAGATAATATGGATATGTCAAGGGGAAAATAACGTGTGGAAAATTTCCAGCAATATCCACATCTTAGTGATGTTTCGTTTGGAAATTTCCCATCATGTTGTTCCTCTTGGGAGATTGTGGATTAAAAGTTTGAATTTTGATGAATTCTGTGAAGTTTAAGAATTATAAACACATCCTTACTATTCATGAGTCCCAATTTTATGATCCATCCATAATCCAAGCTGAGATTTAGACACAAAACATTACACATTTAAAATGGACATAAAATATGCAATTTGTTGACATCCTTTTTGCCATGTAACTTTCCAAAAATCTCAATTTAATCATGCACACCAAATTTAATACGGTTGAGAATGCCTTAATATATTCTCCTTAAAGAAAAATGCTTCAATCAAAAAGAAGAGTGGAAGCAAGCAGCCGATAGCAACGACCTCCTTAATGTTGCGTTATGAAAATGAACGAGAGAAAAGGAAACATGTTTTTCATCTTATAACTAAGTGGAATTTGGTATAATTTGAATAAAGATTTATGAAAATCCAAAAAGGCATGATATCGTTCTTTCTTCTAGTCTCCTCGTTCCATGCTCCATTTCGTTCTTCATTTTTTTCGCATCGCTCAAATCTTTACGATGCCGATACTGTTGATTTTTTATATCCGATTCCTCTGTGATTCATCATACATACAAATATTGTTGTTATTCATGCATAGCTGATGTAAATCTTAATCTATCATTAAGTCTCCTCTCTTTTTTTTTGATAGATGTATGTACGGTACACGAGATTCTTTTCACCATCAATATTTATTGTCCATAAATTTCTTGCTTTATTTCCATCTGCTTGCATACTTACGTGCATAAATGGGAAATAATTTTCAATATCTACCCTCCTCCAATCCACACCTATAATAACATACATTCACATAAAAATTCATATTTTATTTTAGTAGTGCTGAACTTTACCATTAGACTCATCAAAAAACAATTCTTTCGAATGTATTTGAGGGAATTTCCCCTGCTAGAAACGACTCTTTGGAGAAATGATTCTTCTTGTCTTTCCTCATTTGCTAGATTCATGAATATATGAGGAGTTGAATCTACATATATATTATGAGTTACACATATACAGACATACATAAACTCACAGACATGATGTATAACGTAGAAGGAATGTTTGCATAAAGGGCGGCTATCTGATGAGTTTTTGACTAAGGTATTCAATCAATGTCTCGTATTTCATCATTCAAAATATTTTAAGACTGGATCTTAAAAACATCAGAGAGAGGAAAGTAATGAAAATTCTTGAGAGAGTCGTTCAGATATGATGTGCATCGAAATGGGATTTCAAGCACTCATCTGCTAGCATTTTTATTGAAAAAACAAAATTAATACCTACAAGATCTCAATTCCTATAAAAGAACAGTTCCAAGAGCTCTTAAACTTTAGTCACCCTTTAGTGATATATATCAAGATGAGCGTACGCAAATGGAAATAAAAATTGCAATGAAAATCTTGAAGATAAGTCTATTTTTATGCCTGGTTTCCATTTTGACCTAAAAGTATTATAGTTTGGGGCTTTTGAGCCTCTCTCGTATCATTTCATTCATCTTTCCAACTCTTTCATCTGGAATCTCTTTTTCCATTGTTATTGTTGTTCCTATAAATACACATAAATTGGCAAATGTTGGATTTTTATTTTGTTGGTAAAGCTTTTATAGCTTTATCCATATCCATTGTTCTTTTATTGGAGTAGTTAAGTTTTATTAAGCAGTTAAGTGCCTTGCTGGTCGAATAGGTAAGGCGCTTGGCTCAAATTTGGTATGGTAACTCGAAGGTCGTCGGTTCGAATCCAGCCATTTCCAAATTTGTTCTTTTTCAGAAGTTTAGATACTTCGACTGCTTAATGTACGAGTCAAGCCATAATTGGGCATTTTGGGCAACGTTGGATTAAGGAACGGATCAGGAACTTGAAGTGTAGCGGGAGAAATAGGAACGAGAGCTACAAGATTACCTTATAATGGAATATTGTCAGAACGGACCTGAAATGTATCACGTCACGCCCACAGAAGATTGAAACGAGAGCCTTAGTTTATTTGAAACCTAGATTTGAAGATTAGAAGCTTGATTCTAC